ATTGATTAATTGATTCTTGGATTAGTCGAAGCACTGCCACTCTTTTCTTCTTCCAAATTGATTGATTGCTTCATTCATTCATTCATTCATTCCATCCTCATCATCATAATCATCATCATCACAATCATCACATCATGTCGCAACACAATCCAAAATCCAACAACGACATTCCTGAGTTTTGTTACCTACAAATTTCCATAGGTGGTCAAGTGCAACCAAGACCAATTGTCATTCACCTCCAGCACGAAACTTGTCCAAAGACCTGTCGCAACTTTCTGGCCTTGTGTAGTTCATATGCTTCAGAAGAAGAAGAAGAAGAAGAAATCAAAAAAGTAAAAACCACTCGAAAGAAACCCATGCCTACCTATCGTGGGAGTTACTTTCATCGGATCGTACCCAATTTCATGTGTCAAGCGGGAGACTTTGAACGATTCGATGGAACCGGTGGGTACAGTCCCATTTATCCAGGGGGACGATTCGACGACGAACCGTTTTTGAAAAAACACGATGCGGAAGGTGTGGTCAGCATGGCCAATGCGGGCAAGAATACCAACAAGAGTCAATTTTTTGTAAGAATATATATATATATATATAGAAAGAAGAGAAAAGTGATCACCATTTGCTTGGATCACAAAAAGTATCATGGTTCTATTTTAATATCATTGTACTCACACATTTTCTAAATAATATTTTGAAATGTATATTTATATACAAACATAGATCACGCTCAAGGCCACACCTCATTTGGATGGAAAGCATGTCGCTTTTGGACGAGTGGTATCGGGGATGGAAAGTGTTCATGCCATGACTAAAGTGGAACGGGAAGGAGATCGACCAGTTCCATTGCAACGGATTGAAATTTGCGATTGTGGGATTGGCAAGGGTGGTGATGACGACAACAACAACAATAACAACAGCAACAAACAACAAGACGAGGATGGCAAACAAGACAATGCAAAGGGATCATCAACACCACGAGACTCTGATCGGAAACGAAACAAGAAGAAGCACAAAAAGCGATCCAAATCCAAGCGTCGCAACCATGATGACGACCCAGATGACGATGATGATGGCAACCGTCATCGGGATCGAAAAAAGCGAAGGAGGAAACATCATCGTTCTCGCAAAGATGAGGATTCCGACGACTCGTATTCCGATGCGTCTTCCTCGAGTGGTAGAGATGGGGACCATTCCCGTCATGATGGAAGGAAACATCGTTCCAGATCATCAGATGGACGACGACGAAGAAAACATAGTAAGCAACACGGCAGGAAAAAATCCAAAAGGTCATCGAGTCGCAGAAGAAGCAGCGACAGCAGTAGCGCTTCTTCTACGACTAGTCGTGGAGACTGACTCTTTCGTCATGTTGCTTGTATCATGCTACTAGTACTAGTACCATTAGCTAGCTAACCAGCATTCGCCAGTCTATTCTTTTCAAGAGATTGTATACATTGAATTTACTTTTTATGTTATCTTTCTATTTTCAGCAGTGTCACAAGTTGTTCCTTATCTTTTCATAGCGCGATTTTCTTTCCATGTAGTGCTACTAGTGGACACAACTTGCGGATTCATTCATTCATTCATTCTTCGTGTTCTTTCTCCATTATTTCATTTCTCACAAACTTGGATCATTGCGGCAACATACTGCTGTATAGTCATTCTTGTCACTGTTGTTGTTGTTGTTGCTGCTGCTGCTTCTTCGGGATGATGCTGTGGTGGTGCTTGTTTCCATTTCCCACATTTGCTGCCATCGTTTGGGCAACAATTCGTCCAACAAGGGTTCCAAGGGTCGGATTCCAAAGGTATAAATGACAGTTTGATCAAAATCATGATGATTATTGCGAAGAATGCAACTGCCGCCAGAAAGGTAATTGTATTCGTTGTTGTGGTGGTGGTTGTCATTGTTCGTATGGAGTTCGGACATGCTTTGATCGTGGCAAGATTGGTTGTTTGTGATGATGGTTTCTTCAATGATTGAGATTGGTTGGTGGTAATGGTATCTTTGTTGCTGGTGGTGACTTTTCTTGGTGTAGGAGCAGACTTGAAATCAAAGTACTAGACGCACTATAGAGATCAAACTAAAATGATCGGCGTTTTTTGGATGCTTGTGTAGTTTGATGTTATGAGGGTCGTGGTGGGTTTGAGTCTGTGTCAACCAACACACACGATAGAATCAATCAATCACTCACTCATCCGAGCAAGATCCGAGAAGAGCCAGAATCATAAATTCATCGAACCTTTTGAATCGTTTGGCGATGGAACAAGACTGATCAAGACTTACCCATCCCAGTGAGGAATTTGGAATCATCTATCATCAAAGCATGTTGTTCAGAGAAAGCAAGATGCCCGCATGCCATGCCGGCGGCGAGATTTTTCAAATAAGAATTATCGAAAGAACGTCAGAGTTGGTCATCGTTCCAATTGGTCCAAAAAAATCAATGCGCACCCCTCCGGCCGTGCGAGCGATTTAAAAATCGTACAGCGCAGAGGGTCAACCCAGACTTCGAAAAGAGTGATAAATACTGTGTTTTGGGAGTGCTTATGGTTTGGAATACAAGTTTCAAAGTTCAATTTCGCGGTTTCAAATTCCTGATAACCTACCACACCAATCAACATCAACCAAACCAAACAAAACAAAACTCTCACTGCTCTTTTGACGACATCAACAAAACTACAGTAGAGCTTCCAACGTTTGGATTGGAGTAGACAGCCAGATCAAGGCACAACCGAGGGGGGGAAGACTATTGTTGCACAGAGACAAGCTCGTCAGAATTCATTCATCACAAACATGAAGCGCTTGTTGTATCTCCCAGCACCACTGTTGCTGCTTTCCATGGTCTCTTCCTTTTCCAGTTGGAAGATTGGAATTCGAAACTCATTTCGAACGAGATTATCAATACCGCAACACCAACACCAACAACAGCGCCAACAGCACAATGCAATATCCTTTACGTCGACTAACACGAGACTTCTAGTTTCCAATACGGATGACAATTTTGAGGAACGGCTGCGGAAGGCTTACGAAGAGTGGAGCTTGACGTATGGCGACACAATTGATGAAACGCGCATGGAAATATTTTCCTATCACTTCTTAATGGCCGAAAATTACTTCAAAGAGACTGGAAATCGCATCAAGTTAAACGAATATGCTGATCTGACTGCCGTTGAGTTTCAGCGCCTGAAAGAAATGGGAGGTATGATTCAAGATGTTGGTGGATCAGACGGAAGCAATAATAACAATCCTCATTGGGCTCCAGACGATGCGGCACAAATGGACTTTTTTGCCAAGCAGACCTCCCAACGAAGACAAACCTTTCAAGATAATTCGCAACAAAATCAACCTGAAGATCCACAACCGCCACCTGGATATTTCTCCATCTTGCCAACCCCCGAACAACAACAACAACAACAGCAACAACAAGGCGGAGATCCGAATAATCCTACTGGTGCCGGTGGAATGAACAATATGATGAATAATGGTATGGGTGCGAATGCTCCTGGTGGTACTGGTGGAATGAATAGTATGATGAATAATGGTATGGGTGCTGCGACATATAGTTTCAACAATGGTATTGGTGGTGGTATTCCAGCTGCTGAGAATAATCATAATCCTAACATGGGAATGCCTGGACTTGGAGGAGGAAATTCCTCACCACCACCTGGTACAGGAATGGCTGGTGGCAATCCCTCTGCGGAGGGAGTGTCCTCCTTTCGCGATCCCTATCAGCAACGATTCACGCAGTCGTATCTCGACTCGCTCAATATACAAGCCAAGGATGACCTAGTAGATCAAACGCCAAATCAAAATCAACCACCACCGCCGCCGCCAGAACCAACAGGCCAAAATGGAATGTACACGTTTGGTGGCGACAATGAAAATGCAAATGTCCAGCAGGATCCAAACAAATACAAGCAATCTGATTCCTTCCCGCCAGAAAACTCTGATGATAAACCTGAACTTCAGGATCTGATCAACTCTCGGTACGATGGAATTGGATTTTTGGAAGATTCGGCCATGGTGGGGAATTCTGGGATGGACTACAAATTCTTTCCTGCCTTGTCCAAAATGTACAATCTTGATTACCCCGATCCACAACAACAACAAAATCGACAACAACAACAACGACAGGATATGCCACCGCCTCCTCCGCCTGGCATGCCTGGACCAATGGGTGACGGGGGATTTACTCCACCTCCACCACCAGGAGAGCCATCACCACAAGATCGAAGAGAAAATTTTCTGAATGCCATGTCGCAATTGTATTCGCAAATGTTCAATGAAGAAGGTGGACCACCGGATGCCGAGACTTTTGAGATGATGCAAAATTTCATGCAGCAGGCCGCTGGTGGCGGTCCGCCACCCGGTGGTCAATTTGGAATTCCTCCTCCCCCAGGTCAATTTGGGGTTCCGCCACAACCAGGTGCCTTTGGTGGAGGAGTTTCTACCGTTGGCGGCGGCGGTGGAGGAGGTGGCGGAGGTCCCTCTGGCCAGTGGGGTGCTCCCGAATCTGGGCCACTCCAAACGGACGAAGATTTGTATGGTGACAACGAAGCCGCAATGACGCCCCCACCACCTCCTGTTGATGAAGAAGAAGAAGTTGGAACGGAAGTCTATCTTGGAGAAATGTCATACAAAATGACTCGAGGTAGAGTCATTGAATGGCTAAAAAACATTGGCGACGAAGTAGAACGAGGCGAGCCACTCTGTGTCGTGGAAAGCGATACATTCATGATGGTCGATGGACAGAAATATGCCGAAACTCATGATGTGGTGGCACAAGAAGATGGGTTGTTGGCTGCCATTTACATTGAAGTCGGCGAAACGGTACCCGTGGGCTCTGTGCTGGGAGTTGTAGCAGCTGACATTGCCGAGGCGTCTTTGGTGCGACAAACACTGGAACAGAAGAAGGTGGACTTTGACGAACCAATTGGAGCTAGAACCAGTACTAGTACTAGCACTAGCAGCAGAAGCGAACCCGAAGACGTCTTCATCGATGAAAATGGTTACCCAGTGGATGAAGACGGATATTTGCTCGATAGTGTTGAAGTCGATGCAGAGGGTTATCCAATTTACGACTACGTCGATGGTTACCCCGTTGATGAAGATGGATACGTCATCGAAGATCATGATGAGTTGGATGCCGATGGATATCCCATTGAAGATGAATATGACGAGAATGGTGGTTACGACTACGAATATGAAGAAGGTGGTTATGAAGAGCAGGGTTGGGGTGAAGAACAACCGGCCGCAGAAGACGATGGATTTGGTGCAGAAAGTATGTACAGTGGACCCGTTGACGACGATCCAGATTTGCCTTCATGGGTACTTGGAGATGCTCCTTCTATTGCTCCAGCAAAGGTTGCAAGCAGGTATCCAGTGATTCCCAAAATGAATCGACCGGCACCACCACCTCCACCTCCCAAGAAGGTTGCATCACGTCAAACGCCCAAACGAAGCGTGCCAAAGGGTGGACGCCGACCAGGACCACAACGGCCGCGGGGTAGAATCGATGATGTGCGATCGCCCGCCAGAAAGAACCAAGCAGCTGTCAGAGCGGAAAAGCCCAAGATTGAAGGTACTGAATTGACTTTGTCCGAGCTCTCGTACGGAATGACCAAGGCTACTGTCATTGAATGGATCAAGAAAGCCGGAGACCCTGTCAAGAAAGGTGAACCATTGGCCGTCGTTGAGAGTGACACGTTCATGGTGATTGATGGACAAAAGTATGCCGAGAGCCACGATGTGGTGGCATCACAAGACGGAATTCTTGCCGCTACGTACGCTGGAGAAAAGGAAACACTTGAAGTTGGAGCACTTTTGGGTATCATTGCCGACAACGAAATGGCAGCTCGAAATGTACCACAGTCAAACCCATATGGAAGCGGAGCGTCTGTAGCTGCTGCTGAAGGACCAGACAAACCGATGTCCCGAACGCAGCGCTTCGTAGCCGATGCAATCCAGGCATCGACGGATCCTGAGCAAAGACCCAGAGGAGCAAACATGGATGCTGGATTCCTCGATTCCGTCGAACAGGTCGAAGAAGATGTAATGGCCCAAATGGGAGGAGGACCATCAGAACAACAACAAAATGACGAATTTGCAAAACGATTCATGTCACAAGAAGAAAGACAAGCAGCCGACTTTGCTGCCGCAGGTTCCTATGGTGGCGGTGGCGGTGGGGAGCAATATAATAATGAAGCAATTGATGATCCAGATTTGCCCTCTTGGGTGCGCGGTGATGCTCCTTCTCTTGCCCCAGCAAAAGTCGCTAGCAAATTTCCTGTCATCCCAAAGATGGGTCAACCTGGAGGCGGAACATCCCCATCGGCCAATGCCATTAAAAAAGCTCGAGAGGCCACAATGCAACAGCAGCAGCAAAGTCAAATGTACGATAAGAGTCAAACTCCACCTGGGCGAATGCCTGCCTCGACTCCCAGAGGTAGTGTTGCGGCTCCTCCTCCTCAGAGACGTGGTGCTCCACCGAAACGACGAGGAGCACCCCCAAAGAGAAGAGGCGAAAGGCCATCAGGCCGTGGAAGAATTGATGACACTCGAGCGCCTTTGAATCAACCTCAAGAAGACGAAGGTACAGAAATCGTGCTATCCGAATTGTCATATGGAATGAAAAAGGGAATGATCATCGAATGGCTCAAGAATGTTGGTGACCCTGTAAAGAAGGGCGAGCCCATTGCTGTTGTGGAAAGTGACACATTCATGGTCATTGATACCCAGAAGTACGCTGAGAGCCACGATATCCTCGCAACAGAGGATGGTATTTTGGCGACCCAGCTCGGTGGTCCAAAAGAGTTGTTTGATGTGGGTGCTGTATTGGGGACGATTGCCAACAACGAGGCACAGATGAGAAATATGCGCCGATCGTCACCGCCGCCCCCAAGCCAAGCTGATGCCAATGGTTACAGTGGCTACGCTGACGCATCATCATTTGTCCCCGAAGAAACCAACGAAGCGGGCGAAAACTACTATCCACCACCAGATCCAAGAGAAGCGGCAGCAGCAGGAGGTGACAATTATTTGGATGATCCAGATTTGCCCTCGTGGGTTCGTGGCGATGCGCCATCCATTGCTCCTGCCAAGGTTGCCAGCAAGTACCCAGTCATTCCAAATATGCGACGAGGTGCTCCCCCACCACAGAGCACACCCAACCCACCCAGGACTCCTCCGGCCCCTTTAAACGGTGGAACGCAGCGACGTATTCCTAAGGGAAGATATGATGATACTCGAGCGAGACCGAAGGAAATTCGAGTTATCCCGTCCAATAAAACACGACCTCGGGGAAGGATTGATGACGTCCGTGCTCCATTAAATGCAGGAGGTGGATCAAGTTATACTGCACCAGAGCCAACCAATTCAGATTCGAAACTTTTCCCAAACTTGTCGACACCAAAGAGTCCCAAATCAACCAATAGGATCACACCTAAAGCGACACCTAAAGCGACACAAGCACCGCCACCAGAGGAAACGAGATTTATGCCAGATCTGTCGAGTACGTTGAAACCAAAGAAAAAGAAGACTGTGGAGAAGAAGGGCCCACCAATTAAGCCACCTGCACCGCCGCCGTCGCCACCACCTCCTACACCAATAGTGGACACGAATAAGGAAACTGAAGACTTGAAACCAGAACCTGAGGTTGAGGAGCCTATCGAGGAACCAGTTGTTGCCGAGGAGGAAAGTATTACATCGGAGACTGTTGTCAAAGAAGTGGTTCACGAAGAGACTTTAGAGTCAGCAAAAGAAGATTCACCAGAACCGATCAATGACGAGGGTGTGGACACAGTCGAGGAAGATGTTGTAGAATCACTGGAAGACTTGCAACAACAACAAGAAGATTTGCCAGAACCGATCAAGGACGAAGGTGTGGACACAGTCGAGGAAGATGTTGTAGAATCACCGGAAGACTTGCAACAACAACAAGAAGATTCGCCAGAACCGATCAAGGACGAAGGTGTGGACACAGTCGAGGAAGATGGTGTAGAATCACCGGAAGACTTGCAACAACAACACAAAGATTCGCCAGAACCGACCAAGGACGAAGGTGTGGACACAGTCGAGGAAGATGTTGTAGAATCACCGGAAGACTTGCAACAAGAACCGGACGAAGAAGATGTCCAGCCCCCGATAGTCGATGAAGAGGAAGGCGAAGAAGCCCTTATCGAAGAGGATGCGCAATTGGAGGCTGGTGGGGAAACTATGGTGGATGCTTCGGACGAGATTGAAGCCAGTAATGTCGAAGATACTGAGGACATTAGTGATGATTTGGTTTCTGAAGACATTAATGGCGACTATGTCGACGAAGATGGTGTTGACATGGAACTAGAAGTCGAGGAAGAATCATCGTCAGACGAAGTAGAGGTGCTTGCGAATGGCGAAGAGGATATCCAAGTCGAAGAAGGGGCAGAGGAAGACGTTGCAATAGAGGAAGCTGAAGAAAGCATAGTGGAAGATAGCGAAATGAATGTAACTGCAAAGGTTGACATTCGCGATCTGAAAAAGGAAAATACTTCTCCTCCAAAAGAGACTAGTACAACGGCTGAAACTTTCGACTTCCAGGAAGCCGCCACTAACTCTACTGATGCCATGGTGCAAGAGATTCTAGTGACAGCAAAAGCTCGAACGGCGGCTGATGAAGCGAAAATAGATTTGACCACGCTCAAAGGGACGGGGGAAGATGGATGCATCACCCTAGACGATGTCAAACTGGCCATTGCAAGAAAGAAACCAAAAATAGGGATTCGCTTTTTGACAGACAAACCGAAGGGACGGCCAAACAAGAAAGACAAATAATGCAACAAGCACTACAAGTCCGCATGATGGTCAGAACTGTTTCGTAACGGACACCGCGTACGAATAACGAATGACACATCAATGCGATTGTTGCCTTGCCAGCGCTCAATCGACGGACTCAGTCTGAATTGACTATATTTGGGGATGGTATGACTAGAGCAATGCAAAAGGCAAAACACTGTAAAATAATGCTATAAAGATATCAAAACAAACAACTGAATAAAGAATTGTGCTTTTTAGCTTTTAGTCATCAACATTGTCGACATGTACCCTTTTAGTTCGAGTGACGAATACATTCCTTGGCAATCGCTTTCATTTGGCGTTCCGAAAATTCTTTTGCAGGACTGAGGTGCAAGAGTGTCACTGACAAAGTTTCGTCACAAGGGCAAAAGAAGACTTCCGCAACGACACCCACGACAACAGTCCATCGAGAAGCTGAATTTTCATTTCGTCGACTGCAGGGGATGCTCACATTCAAAAAGCACTCGGCAACCAAGTGTGGAGTTCCATTTTTCAAACTAATTTCCAAGGAGCAATCCTTCATAGAAGCTTTGGCATGCAACACAGGTCGGATGAGGCCATTCGCGCATGTCAAGGATTCAAGGAGGGAAGTCTTCTCAAAAATTTTGGAGGTTGCCGCCCGGTATAGCAATTCATGGGGTTTTCTCCTGCCAGCACTCTCAACAGTGAAGTAACGTGAAATTTGTTTTGTATCAGTGATCGTCACTCCACGAGGAGTATACAACGTGGTGTTGGTCTTTGCAATTTCTTCGAGGAAAGCTGTCTTATCAAATGCTGGCTGTTGCTGCAAGATGGCAATGAACTCATAAAAGGTAGGAAACGATTGAAGAACCAACGAATTCATTTCTGCTAAGAAAGCGGAAGGACTTGAACGCAAGGCTGCTTGAAAGTCCCGAAGCTCTGTTTGGATTTGTTGCACCTTTTTTTTATCGAGATCATCATTGGATGATGACGAAGACGACGAAGAGGATGAGGAAACCGATGAAAGAGATGCGTGCTGCTTCATACTAGCAGGCAATTTCAATTCCGTCGAACCCTCGTCGTCGTGATCAAAATCATTTGACGTCTCTTCAATGGTAGTAAGAGATTGCAAAACGCTGTTCCTTGTATTTACTGTAGGCATATTGAGCTGTTTACTTTTTTTGGATTTTGTGATGATTGCTTTCGATAATTGTTTGCATAGTGGCACTTTCACCTACCGGTAGGTTTGCTTCATTCATTCGGAATTGTGATTGATGGAAATGCAAGACTCACTTATTCCTGGCAAACGCACGACTGGACACCAAGGGGCAAACAGGGGGAATTGGTGATCACCTCCATTACTTCCCCCAAAATGTACTGTATGGGGCTCTGCCATCGCTAACTATCATACACTATTAGTAGGTACACGTGTACTTCCACAGCCATCGCCAACTATATCGTACTATGCACCCTTATCCCATTGGATTATCGTGATGTAGGACGTGATACCCATTACAACAAATCCAAGACCAGCAACAAAAGTGTTCAAAAGTTTCGTGCTTTTTGACAAATCTCGTCCAATAATATTGTGCATCATGGGAGGGAATATCAGCGCAATGGGAATGCCAACCAGTGAGCCCAACAGACTAACTACATTTCCCAAGTAATCAATCGCCAAATAGGCAACGATTCCCAGCATACAAACTACCAGAGATGCTTGAGCGTTCAACTTGGTACGTTCAGATGGATCCGTTTTGCTGGCTCCACTTGTGGAATGATGAAAGACAACCTCCATGGCAGGAAATGCCTGCAGTGGAAAAGTAAAGATCACTGCCACTGAGTATGCGAGCTGTACGCTGGTGGCATAAGGTCCTGGTGGAAGTGACGCCGTAAGCGCTGTGCGAATCGACGTTCCAAAAGCAGCCCAGCAAGTTATGGCGAAGAACATGTAAAAGGCAACGATTCTGGACGTCACGGTTTGATTAACAGAAGGAAAGCGCTGTTTGTCTTCTTCTCGAAAGACGGCCCCTTGAAGTGGGACAATCAACGTGATACCTCCTTCAAAAGCAAAGAACTGTTCCAATGATTGACAGAGCAGTCGTTTGGCAGGATGGAATCAATCAATGAAAACCTCAGGGTGAATATATGGGATTGCAATTAAGCCAAGCCGTCAGAAGCGGGTTCAGTCAACGACAGACACTTACAGCAGTTCCAATGAACAGTATCCAAGTATCACTATTGGTGGCTGGTAAGGCAGCAAGCCTATCAAAGTATGATGATTCTGGGTCTTTTGCAATCTCCCAAAAGGCCAATACCAAACAAGAAAATAACCCGTAGGCAGTCAGCATGGTAGCCAGGACATTAAAAGGAGTCAATCGACGGATATCACGAATCCATGACAATGGCACTTCGATCAGCAACATTGCAATCAGAAAGACAGTTTTGTTCACGTCCCAGCCAAGGAGCATACGAAAAGCTTCGTAGAGGTTTTGGGGTACAAAAATGAGATAGGTCAGGCATACTCCAAACTGCATGAGGGCGATTCCCAATTGCACAAAGATGGCACCACGACCAAAGGCACGTCTTGCTAGCTCAGGATATGTCAGCATTGTACTACCTTCGGCTGGTCGCGACTCTTCGGTAGCCCCATACCGCTTGGGTGACTCCATTAGCAATGCTCGAATTTCATCAATCTTGTCTGCCCTCTCTCTTTCAACTTTCCAGCACTGCAGGAGCCGATTTGCGCTGTAGATATAGGCCGTAGTAGCCAATATCATTGTAGGAATAGCAAAAGCGTATCCTGCCATTTGAAATCCTTTGGGCAGAAACAAAACTGCTGGACCGATGGTTCCCTTGATGATTCCAAAGATGGCTGCAGTCATGGAACCACCTTCCACAACATCAATAGTCTCTTCAACCTCCACCAACGACTTCAGACTTGTCGAAGAATCTGGGCCTTGGAAAAGATTCGACAGGTTGCCACCGTAGTCTGGCTGATTTTGTTCCGCTCGACCATCTCTTCGTCTCCTCTTCCGGACCGTCAGAGTCATGTGAACGTCGCCGTGATCATCAATGTGCTCATTGTCTCCTAGGGCACCCACACTGTGCATCCGGGATCGTTCCAAAGTGTCATCACTCCAAAAGAGCTTCAAGCTTTGAGGTAACGATCGAATGTTTGGTTGTGGAATCCTCGCATCAGTTTTGGTCAAGCCGAAGTCCCGAGCCACCTGCTTGAGGCGACTGTTGTCTTCGCCAGCAATATAAGTGTTTGCATGTTGCTGTGATTGCGTCTCACCGAAGTCGTCCATTGTTTTAGAATCTGTGTTGTGTTTTGTTGTGTTGCTTTCGACAATGTAATCGATATTATATATTATTAATAATAAATGTCAGGAAACTAAACCGGGAGATGCCATGAGCTCTGACAGAAATACGTACGAAAGATCTTTTCATGATCAGACACGAGACACGACCTCTTCAGTTTTAGTCAAAGTAATCGTTTAGCTCCCTTTGATCGATCGATCGATCGATGATTGATCACAGATTGCTACAGCCTGCGGTGACGATTCATTCTAAGCAATCTCTTCCACTCACTATGAGCAAGAGGGAAGCTAACGATGGTATTGCTACTGCCAACCACGAAATGGATCAAGGGGACTACGTGAAACAACAAGCTTCGCCGGATACAAATGGAAATACTCATGATGCCACTGAAACAAAAAGAAGTATGTTCACAAGGTTAAAAGAAATGATTATCAGGCTCTTTCTTCCGAAATGTTTTGTGTATCCTTTCCTAGCTGTTGTTGTGATTGTGGTGACTGTGGTGATGATGATTGAATTTGTAAAACGAGACGACACTGAGATTCCACAAATCACCATTAAGGATTATTCTGATACAAACACAACATCGGTTCCTACTACTACTACTACTACTACTACTACTTTTAATGAATCACTTTCGTCGCCATCACCAACAGAGTCGCCGATGTGAAGCAGCTTGAAAGAAAGGACTATGAGAATGTTTCAGCTCCAATCCGTCCAAAGTTCAATTCATCTCGTCTCTTTTGCAGATGGGGGATGATTCACCAATCATAAAAGTAAACGCCTCTTGACGCCAACGACGAAACAATGAAGTCCAAAACGACAACTCAGGAAAAATATGAGATACTGGACTTATTTCGATACTACCTATTCGCTCATTCTCACAAATACGTCCTCTAGTGACGATTGGGACAGCAAGAACTGATTGATTCCTCCTTCAGTTTCACGTTCCTTGCTGTACAGTGCACGGAATACTCGTTCCAATCTCAAGTCTCTGGGCAATGACACATGCAACGTCTTTGCTTGACGGAGTGCTAGTACAGCTTGTGCATGGACATTCTGACGAACAAATGACATGGCCTTCTCCTGATACTCCTCTGTACTCTTGACCAAATTCAGTTGCAAGTTGTACCCCGAACCGAAATTGTCTTTGAGATGCTGTTGTGTCCCAATCACCTTCAGTGCGCCATCCTTTACAATCGCAATGCGGTCACAGAGCGTATCTGCCTCGATCATCATGTGGGTAGTGATGATAGTACTTCTGTCAGTAGATGAAAAGGATTTGATGAGTTTCCAAATCGAGTTTCTTGTCGAAGGATCGAGTCTGTAAACAATCAGAAAGCGAACGAAGCGTCCATTGAGTTTAAAAGATCATTGTAGTGAAAGATCAGTACACTGACTTACCCTGTTGTTGGTTCATCCAAGATGTTCACTTTTGGTGATCCGATCAACGAGATTGCAATCGAGAGTCGTCGACGCATTCCACCCGAAAGATCCCCCGCCTTTCGATGGAACATTTCCAATGACTTTAAACCGACCGCAGTCGCTGCATTGCGAGCGACTTCCGTCGCTTTGCTACGGGGAACTCCTTTCAACATGGCGAAAAACTCCAAATGATAGCGGACCGATCGCTTCTTCCATACTACGTCGAATTGGGCACAATTCCCCAACCTTTCAAAGATGTTGAGCTTGTCAGTGTTGCAATTGTATCCTACCACCATACCAACCCCAGACGTTGACTCGTGTGCGCCTGCAAGGATTTTCAAGGCAGTTGTCTTACCAGCGCCATTTTTTCCTAGCAACCCAAGCGTTTGCCCCTTTGGAACGTGCAAATCAAGGTCTCTGAGGGCAACTTTGGGTGGCCTACCTCCGAGAGCAGGATACACTTTGCGCAATCCTCTCGTAACAACGGGAGGAACATCATTTCGAGAAACTTTATTCATATCAATCTTGAGAGGCGAGCTTTGGGTTCCTTCTCCGGATACAAACTCTTGGCACAACGAAGTCACTGTTTGGCGCTCTTGAGTCACCTCTTCAAGCCCGGCATCATCCTTATCGCCAGAATTGTTCGGCATTGTGGTACTTTTCGTATTCTTGCACAGCACGGCATCGGTAATTGATCGGAAAAGGCGCCGGATGTAAACAAACGGTCCGAACGGGAATGCCAACAGGCATGTCAAGAAAATACCCAAGACAAGCAAAATGATAGCCCCGAGAAACATGAAAAGCATGTTCTCGCGGAAAATTTGGTTGGCCAACGGAAACTCGCAGGTGTTTCCGTCACAAGACACGCCCTCGAAGCTGGGTATCAACACCTGTTCTACATATTTTTCGGGTTGTGAGACCAATGTTACTCGGGAGTAATAAGCCATGATGAGAGATTGTAATAGCGAGATCTGGGGCAAAAGTGAAGCAGCGGGATCCATGCAGTAGTGCCCAATTCCCGAACTGCTGATCTGCAATCCAGCACAATTCAAGATTTCTTCGGCGGTGTTGTTCGGATATAGCGTTGATTGGCAAACAAGCTCCGGGTCAGTCATATTTTCACAGATCCTATAGTCGTACTCAGATAGGACTCTTGCATCGATTGTAGGCCAAAAACTCGAAACGAGAATGAAAAGCATGACAGAGACAAGTGGGATCCTGTATCCTGGTAAGAATGCTGTGGTTAGGACGGCGCCGACACCAGTTAATGCAAAGCAAAAAATGATGGCAACAATCATGCCGAAACCTCCGGGAGATCTGGAAACACGAAGTGACACATACTGCTCGTCGTACTGATCTTCGAAGCTCAACCTGAGCAAGTTTTGATTTGGCACAGACCCCCACGGTTTCTCCCAGTCATTGACCTCGCAGATATCGCGGTAGTACCCCCATTCGTCTTCACCATATGGGCATTCAATGGGTTCTCTAAACATGCTTGTGCCATAGAACCCGCCAAGAATTATCAATCCATACACGAGGTATACAGAGAAGCCATACAGACTGATACCAGCGACGTACGCTCTCGACAGCAGCCCTTGGCTTTGCATCAAGTAGAACAGGCCTTCCGCCTTGTCGGAATAGACTGGACCAATGATGCTAGTGAGGATAAGCGAAGCTAACAGCACCACAACACCAAAAAGACTAGTAGGATCATAGTCGTTCGCAACTCCGAAGCCAGTAAGTAGGCAACCTGCGACAAAGATACCGTAGATGATGTAGTTGATAAATGCTCCTCTACCCCACGATCTCGTCCACATGTCCATGAATATAGTGATGGTTTGGTTTCCGAAAGAAATCTTGGGTTCGAATGTAGTCATTGGTGGTTGAATGTCAATATCATTGGCTTCGCCTTCTTCAACATCAGGCACAATGACTGTATTGCCTTCGTCATCGCCAGCGCTAGTTTCAGTTTCAGTTGACTGACTGTGAGTGCCAGTTACAGCCAAGAAGACTTCTTCCAGCGAACTGTTGGAGAAGCCATATTCCTTCACGGAAGATTCGGCGCTGTCCAGCCAAGTAACGAAGTCTGACAGAGTGTGAGCATTCACACCATCAGATTCCTCGCCATCTGCCATATTGAGGATTTTCACAGTAATCGACCCAGGGTTGCTAGAATCCACTTGAACGGATTCCTTGGTAGCACTGAAGAATGTCTCGATGTAAGCCGCGGCGTCCTTGACTTTGTCTTGATCAAGCAACAATGAGAATTGCAAAGCAGTGCCATGTTCAGCCTTGAGTTGTAGTGGCGAGCCAAAGGCTGCAAGCTCCCCGTCTCGAATAATTGCGACTTCATCAGCAAGGAGGTCTGCTTCTTCCATTGCATGCGTCGTCAAAAGAATGACTCTGCCATCCTTGATTTGGTCAATGTGCCTCCAGACAAATCGACGACTGCGTAAAGCAGAAGGAGTAAAAAGTGAGTTTCAAACATGCGAGAGAAAGAGAGATGTGAACTGTCTTTGATGGTATCCTTACCTGACAGGATCCATTCCTGTAGTGGGCTCGTCTAGAATAATCAATGGCCTGTCACCGATGGTTGCCAGTGCCAAACTCAAACGACGCTTCATTCCACCAGAATACGCGGAGGCATACTGAAGCTGAACTTCTTCCAGATCGACGCTACGAAGCCACACGCTAACTGTTGCTTCTAGCTTCTCCTTGGTGATTCCACGAAGACCCGCAAAGAGTTCCAAATGTTCCCTGGCCGAAAGCGTCGGCCATAAGTAATCGTCTATAAATTTCAATCGAGACATCAAAAGTAAGCCTTTTAGCACGCAGTCAAGTGTTCATACATCATAGTCCTTTCGGCTTACCTTGCTTACAGAGCCCAACCATTTGCCGAATAGCGAAAGGATCTTCACCAATGTCCTGACCAAAGACACGGATATTTCCACTCGTAGATCCGATATTGCAGCAAAGAATATTCGATAGAGTGGTCTTTCCAGCCCCATTGTGACCTATTTCGAGACGACAACAAAAAAGGGACGTTGTGAGAATGCGAAGCTTGGCAAATTCCAGGAATGTGTCTCGAGTCCATCAACGCCAAACTTACCTAGCAAAGCGGTTACTTCGCCAGCCGCCATATGGAACGATACTCCTTTCAGCGCCTCAAAGCTGCCATACTTCTTTTTGACATTGTCAATGTGAACACCAACACCAACTTCACTCTCATTGTGTTCATCATCACCATCATCATTGTCGTCTTTCTTGCCTCGCTTTCCAAACCAGTAGCTTGGAAGGAATGGGAAATAGAATGGCTCGCCTCGGCCGTTCATTCCTGGAAGTACTTGTGCAAAATAAGCAGCCAATAGAAGGTACATGACGCACAGCAAAATAAGGTATCCGAAAATGTCATTGGTGGTGGGTGTCGACTGCATGGGGCCAGGATCCTTGACGTACATACAGTTGCCGTAGGAATCGCCACAGAATCCGTAGTTTCCTGTGCTTGGGTTCGCCGCGGGGCACACAGTGGTAGGATTTTTCCAATCGTAGTTGTATACGTCGTATCGCCCAAGGACAAAGGTAGATCCTTGAGGTGCCAGTTTGGAATCAAATGCGAGCAACGGATTAATGTTGCTAGTAGGAAGGGCTTTGATGGCCAGTTCTCCGGCAGAAAGAGATGTTTCCGCCGCAGTGAACTTGTTGTCTGGTAGACTGGTGTATCCCACAAAGTGTCCCCATACATTTTGAAAGTGAAAGTATGGGAAAAAGAACATTGCTATTCTTGTAATCATGTCATCGTCATGCCATATCTTGACGCTCCATGATGCAGCCGAGTAACATCCGACAAAGATTTCTTCTGGTTGGACATTGTCTCGCTCTTCGCCGTTTTCTGGCTTTGGGTTAGTTCCTTGATACTCGCTTAACACTGGCGTGTTGCACGCATCGTATTGTGCTGGAGGATAGGTAGAAAAGGGGTCTTCAAAATGCTCGGTCCAATTGTAATTTTCTTGCCAGCTGTAGTCCTGTCGAATGTCCAGCGTTGATGTGTAGTACCAAAAGAGACCTTTTGGCATCTCATTCTTCCACATGTAGTCCAAGGCACTTGGTGGCATGGATTGAGCACTTTGGACCATAAATGGAACCCAAGCCGAACATAGGAGCAAAAATATGGTAAAGTTGGCCACTGCTTTTCGCTTTGTACCGCATAGAGCGGCCAAAAGAAAGACGGAAGGGATCAACGCAAGTTGCAACAAGAACATGGATGTAAACACCCCACCAAAGTAGACCGATTCGTACACATTTCCAGGAAGGAACTGGCAGGTCACAGCTGCCAATAGAGAATTGATGCAGGCAATGATTGTAAACGGGACATACCAGGAAGCCCAGTAGACGCTATCTCTCAACCCAAGGGATCGAAGGACTCCAAACAGCTGCGAATGAATCTCATTGTGAACAAAGACAAAGGAAATGATCGCATTCAGACAAGGTCCCAACATCATCAAAGCAACTGGAAGGCCGCTGCGCCATTGATCGTTCATGGAAAGTTGAATCTTGTCTCGTTCTTCCCAATCCATATTTTGGACTGTTCCAGCAAAGCCTGGATCCCAAGTTCCGCATTCACTGAATGTAGGATAGATCACATCGTCAGCATCTTGACCCACGGACCAAGAAAGTAGCGCGGAAAGAATGCCACTGATGAGCAAAAAGATCAAGGGAATGGGACGGCGGGTCAGAATGATTTTGTTTTTCCAAACAGTCCAAGTAAATTGCTTCATCCATGACACTGTCTTCAGATTAGGAAGGTTCCTGACAGTATCTGGATCCTCATGGTTATGCCTGTCGTTGTTTTCAGCTCTTGGCTGTTCCATGGTATCGTCTTGATGATGATTCGTTTTTTGTGTGTTGACTTTCTGTTATTACCGTATTCGTATACTGTAGGTATCACATTTGAAACGACATGGCGATGGGTCATGTCGTGGGAAATCATTCAGAGAACAACCAATGAAAATGCTTCCTTGGTCGTAAAACACGTATAATTAACGGGAAGTGCACGGCCGAACTGTTTGGAACAAGGAAAACATATGCTGTTCCTGTCTCGTTCAATACCCGTTTTGCTCCACATCGTGGATCTTTGGACGTTAGATCAGAAGGCTACATACAGTACAGCACCGCGGTAGCTGGACGTATAAGTTTGAGCACACTACCAATCCTCTCCCATAGGTATTCGAAAGAACTCAGATGAAGGAAGACCAACGAGCGAGACTGATGACGACAGTCGACTTACCAACTAGAAGAAAACTACTAGAAGTAAGGAAGGCGTTTCCAACTAGCAACTTTACGAGTTAACTAATTTCACCAAACCAGGTGTACTCTTCGGCTTCTGCTTCATACCAAATTATTTCTATGTTTGTTTTATCTATAGATATGCGTAGCAAAGTGTACCGCCATCTTCGACCTTAGATTGCTTGATATGTACCAGGTACCGTATGATATGCATGCGAAACACCTTTATCACGACTATACTCGGAATCGTCATTCCGCTCCTGGGATACAGCCAGAGCTTTGTCTCTCCGGTTTGGCGGGAGCAGACGCTTCAACGCCCTATAAACATGTCCATGTGCGAAGGAGACTTATCGAAATTCTACCGTCGCTTCTGGAGAGGAGGCTGCAATAGTACTCAAGAGGTATGCTAGGAAATCCTCTTCCTAGACCTGCTCGTCGACAGCATGTTCCTCTGGCCACCCATGGATAAGAAATTGATTCCAAGTAGAATGAGGCAAAGACCAAAAGGATCCAAGCTTTTTGCCAGCATTGGAACCATCACGGTCATCACCACTTCCAAATACCCATCCGTTGCTGGATTGCTTCTTGTTGAAGATGATGACCGATGGGAACCCTCTCATTCCCACACAGAGCCGCCATTTTCGTAAATCGGATAATCGGCAGGTTGCCGGGCTCAGTTAACAACATGCTACATGCTACGATTTCCAGTGTGTCTTCCGTCTTCCAAACAACCAGATGCATATACCACAACCTACTTGTTGTTGTCGTCGTCATGGCTTTCGATCTCGATCGTGGACGATTTCCACAGCCGTCAACAGCTTGATGCTCTGATCTCGTAGCTTTTCAATTTCATTTGGAGCATCAATGGCCACCTTGTCCTTGACCGTGACAACGACAAGCGGTAGCAAGTCTGACGTGAGGAGCTATGGTAACGCAATCAATCAAAATACTGGAAGGTCACAGTTAGTCTTGTCGAGAAAAAAAAGTAACTTCTCATTGGAGCATCAATGGCCACCTTGTCCTTGAGCGTGGCAACGACAAGCGGTAGCACGTCTGACATGTATGCTGAATAGTGTTGACGTGAGGAGCTATGGTAACGCAATCAATCAAAATACTGGAAGGTCACAGTTAGTCTTGTCGAGAAAAAAAAGTAACTTCTCATTGGAGCATCAATGGCCACCTTGTCCTTGAGCGTGGCAACGACAAGCGGTAGCACGTCTGACATGTATGCTGAATAGTGTTGACGTGAGGAGCTATGGTAACGCAATCAATCAAAATACTGGAAGGTCACAGTTAGTCTTGTCGAGAAAAAAAAGTAACTTCTCATTGGAGCATCAATGGCCACCTTGTCCTTGAGCGTGGCAACGACAAGCGGTAGCACGTCTGACATGTATGCTGAATAGTGTTGACGTGAGGAGCTATGGTAACGCAATCAATCAAAATACTGGAAGGTCACAGTGTGTCTTGCCGAGAAAAAAAAGTAACTTCTCATGGCAACGCGCTTTGTTCATTTCACAGGAAAGAAACGGGTTATAAGAGTTGGGGCCTAATATGTATTCTCTCCAAACCGGTTCATCGATTTTACCGTTTAGGTACACTAGTGCCTGGTGCTACTGTGTGCCCAAGTTTTAAACTTGGCTCCAATGATTTGCTCCATGCAAATTGTGATAATATCTGACGATCGGCCAGCTATACTGTAGTTTGTGCTGGGAGTTGATCGGACGATAAGACTATAGTAGCTCTATCGCTCCTCGTCAAATAAGGTTGGAAAGAAGCACTGAATTTACTCCCAAGAATTGTATGCTAAAAATCTATTTCCCGGCCGTTCAGTATGAGTGCTTACTGTACAGTTCGTCGTTTGGCACGTCTGTCCCAGTCGTGCTTTTTTAAGACACCATGCTGAACAGGTACATCATGAATTGGAAGAGTATTGTACTAGTAGGTACCAGGTACCAGGTAGACGAGTAGCACGTTTGCGTACTAGTTTTCCACAAACAAACGAAAGTAACGCTAGTGCTATGGCAGTGAGGCAAATCATCAAAAGCCCCCAAAGGATCATAAAAGCAACACGGAAATAACCCAATGACGAAGGAGTACTATTTCTTTTGGCGCTCAGGCTCTTGCTTCTCGCAATGGCACAGGAGCAAATATGAACTGAATGGTTGTGAATACAATACAGCGGAACAAGGAATGATGCACGGAAAGGCTCGTCTCTTTGGAGATGAAGAAATTGGGATGCAGATCCTCGCCACGAGCGATCCTCGAAAAATCAAGCAACTCGGCCGCAAAGTCCGGGGATTCAACGAAAAAGAATGGAAGAAGAACAGAGAAACCATTGTGTATCAAAACAACATGGCAAAGTTCACGCAGAACGAGTATATGAAGGATGTTCTCCTGTCCACGAAGGGCGCCTTGCTGGTAGAGGCAAGTCCGCATGACCGAATTTGGGGTATTGGTCTTCGTGAAGAGGACGCAAAGAAAATATCTCCCATGAAATGGAAAGGTCAGAATCTTCTCGGTAAGATTCTAACAAGGGTGCGGGAGGACATTGCCGCGATGGAATGTTCGGATGAAATTGCGAAGGAACCAGATAGCCCCAGCGTTGGAATTGATCAGGACCTGGAAGAGGAATGCAAGAGTACCGTTTCAGCTGAAGCAATTTTAGCTTAAGACATCTAAGCAAGTAGAATGATTCATTCATTCTTTCCGCGTTTTTGTGTGCAATAAGACTCGTCACGTGGTTTAGCCCGCACCTTTATCCCATTGTAGGATCGTGATGTAAGTTGTGACTCCTATGATGACAACGCCAAGGGTGGCGACAGAATAGTTCAAAACCTTCGTGAAGGTCGAAAGATCCCTCACAAGAATGTTATGCATGATGGGAGGAAATACGAGCGCAATTGGAATACCGACCAGTGAGCCAAGCAGGCTTACTACGTTTCCCAAGTAGTCAATCGCCAAGTAGGCAACAACCCCCAAACAACATACAATCAGAGTGGCTTGAATGCTCAACTTCTTACGTACGGATGGATCTGTCTTGATTGCTCCATGTGCAGTATAGTGAAAAACAACCTCCATAGCAGGGAATGCCTGCAGTGGAAAGGTGAACAGGATTGCCAGAGAGTACGCAAGCTGTACACTAGTTGCATAGGGACCTGGTGGAAGTGACGCAGTAAGAGCTGTTTTAATGTTGCTTCCAAAAGCAGCCCAACAGGTCAAGGCGAAGAAAATGTAAAAGGCAACGATACTGGAGGTCACAGTTTGGTTGACTTTAGGAAATCGTTGTTTGTCTTCTTCTCGAGACACGGCTCCTTGAAGTGGAACAATCAATGTGATACATCCTTCAAACGCAAAGAACTATACCCGTGATTAATCAAAGTAGCATTAGAATCGTAGGGTGATATGAATCGAAACAACAGTGTGAGTATAATCATAAAATGAAATAAAGCGGCCTCCGTTACCAGTTGACACTTACAGCAGTTCCAATGAAAAGAATCCAAGTATCAGGGTTGGTTGGAGGTAAATCAGCCAGCCTGTCCAAATAGGTCAACTCTGGGTCTTTTGCAATCTCCATGAATGCCAAGACTACACAAGAGAATAACCCGTATGCGACCAACAAGGTTGCAATAAAATTGAAGAATGCCAATCGACGAATGTCACGAATCCAAGCCAATGGCACCTCCATCAGCACCATGCAAACCAAAAAGACAGTCTTGCTCATCTCCCATCCAAATAGCTGATGCGTAGCTTCGTAGAGGTTTTGAGGCACAAAAATGAGATAGGTCAAACATACACCAAACTGCATGGTAGCAATGCCTAGTTCGACGCAGAATGCACCGCTACCAAAGGCACGTCGAGCAAGCTCGGGATAGGACAAGAGTTTGCCACCTTCACTCGGTTGCTGCTTAAGCTCTTCACCGGCTTTCGTTGATCCATACATCTTTGGCGATCCTTCCAAAAGAAGAGCTCGAATTTCGTCAATCATGGCAGCCTTTGCTTTTTCGACTCTCCAGCATTCCAAAAGGCGATTGGCGCTGTAAAGGTAGGATGCAGTGGACAAGATCATGATCGGTATGGCTAGAGCATAACCGGCCATTTGAAAGCCTCTGGGTAGAAACAAAACGGCTCCGCCAATCGTTCCCTTGATAATTCCAAAGACAGCTGCTGTTATCGAACCACCTACCTCGACGTCAATGGTCTCATCCACCGACTCTTCATCATCATCATCGTCGTCGTCTTCATCTTCTTCGTCTCCTTCATCAATCTTTGACGGATGTTCGAACAAGTTTGACAAGTCACCACCGTAGTCAGGCTTGACATGTCCCAGTGGAACGAGACCTTCTCCTCGTCGTCGACGACGTCTTCGAACGGTCATGGTCCTGTGAACGTTACCGTAATCATCCAGGCGTTCGTTGTCAGCCAGAGTACCCACACTGTGCATACGGGCACGCTCCAAAGTGTCATCACTCCACAAGAGTTTCAAGGCTAGTGGCAACACTCGAACGTTGGGCTGAGGAATTCTTGCCTCCGTGTTGGTCAAACCAAAGCCTCGCGCAACCTTTTTGAGACGACTGCCATCTTCACCAGCCACATACGTGTGGGCGTGTTGCAACGGTGGTAGTAATGATTCGCTGTCCTCCATCTTTCGCTGTCTGCTACTAGATGGTTTGTTGCGATGTGTTATTACTAATGCTTTTTTTTGTGAGCAGACGTTTTTGTTGTGAGCAGACGCTTTTGTGATTGTGTTATGGGTACAAGAAACCGTAGTATTTGATTTGATCAGACAGCAGGAGAAGGAAGATCTCTGCTGGGCACAACAGTACGTCAAAAGATCGTATCCGGATGACGGACGAGCGGTCACAAACTGTCACGCTCGACTTTCCAACTAAAAAAAGAAGTATCTGTACTTTTGTTATTGTAATTAGTAGTGGTCTCTACACTACACTACACTACGGATTCAGTTACAGATTGTCATCATCGGTTGCTTCCGTTGGTGGACCATCGCTCAAGCCCAATGAATACTTCTTGCCTCCCCCGGTCATGACCATACCGTATTCCCCTGGACCTTCCCATTCCTTGGCATTGATCAAGTGACACCAAGAGTCGGGACAATCCGGTTCCGTCGCCGAAGTTCCGACCCATCTCAAGTCGGGAAATGGGCTGTCAACTTGTTCCCTCCATTGTGGTGGAATGGCGTAGTGACTTTCAATGTCTCGATCCTTGACCAACCAGCCTTCGGTAGGATAAAAGTGAACAAAGACCGAGGTGTACCAATCTCCAATGAACTTTGTGGGTCTACCGTGAAAGTTCTTTGCGGACTCGTACAACAAGATATCTCCAGGTTTGAGTACCACACTGTTAGTGTTGCCATGGTAATCTTCAATTACAACGGGCCAAGGCTCGGCATTCTCCGAACTGGCAATGTGATAGATACAAGAAATGACATGGGTTCGAGTCTTGTCGACGTGCATCCACAGTCGCGATTCATTTCGATAAAGTCGGAATCCATAAGCAGTGTAGGCAGTGAGCGGTACGCCAGACCATGCTTCAAGAATTGGCTGTAATTCCCTTTGAACCTGTATCCAATATTTTATGAACCAAATGTTAGACAGTCGAATCGTCATCAGCAATAGACAGCTACTCCATATTTCAAGTTCGTTACTTACTCGATTGGTCAAATCTGGTCGATCGATAAAGAGCGGAACGTTTGGACCAGTAATCACATCAATCTTTCCTTCGGTTCGCGCTGTCGGCAAACCCTCATGAATCGCCTGGGTAATGTCTTCCGTCAATTGTGCCGGCGCATGGGTCAATCCCCATCCAAACTCGGTGTAATTGGGAACGGTAATGGCAGACGATAAAGTCTGAATCCAACCATCCCAGCGCTCTTGCATTTCGGGGTTTCTACATCATCAGAGAGAGAGAGAGAGAGAGATATTGTGTAAGATGCAGTAGGAAAATAGGCAACGGTCTCCAGATATAATAAATGTATATAGATTACGTACGACATGAGTTGAGAGACTCGCTGATTCATGAGTCGATTCCATCCTTCCGTATTTGGATTGAAATGTTCAATAGGAAATTTGTATCCCCGCCTCACATATTCCGCCATTCGTTCTTCCTCGGTGTAACGTGGTTTGTTTCGAAGACCTGCGTCCGTAAGGGAAAGTTGGAAGAAGAGTGCCAATAGTAGCAGAGACACCGAATAACGATGAAACATGGTGACTTGGTGGATGATTTGGTGGTAGGAATAAGAGCAAGTTATGGATGAACTATGAGGATATGGGAATGGCAAAGAATGAATGAATCAATCACCAGTTGACAATTGAAGAAATGCCAAGACTTCGCATTTGAAGCATCGCAAGCAACACTTTGTCGAATTTGAAATGTGACATTTCGACTACTACGACCATATAAAGCCTTGAACAGTACCTCTGTTTGGGAATGAATGATTGATACTGTGATGCTTGCAAACAGCCAACATGTCGCTAGGAGCGGAATAGAGACCGGAATACTCTACTTTAATAAACTAGGTTGCCTCCTTGATACTAGGTGAAATAATCTCATTGCTATTCCACATATGTTTGCATCAGGAGCAGTGGCGCTGGGTACCACAGTCAAGAGCGAAAAGGTTTGTTCATGTTGCAAAAGTATCCAAAGGTAAAGCCATGAATTAACAGCGGGAAGTGAGTCGACAAGGGAGGTTATCATAGCAGTGTTGTTTCCAGGGTCTTTTCAGTGGTATAGGCAGGAAAGTTATTGAGTCGCATTACATCGACAAATTGACTGGTTCCCACTTTCCCTTGGTAAAAGTGCCGCCCCGTAGAATTCAGTACAATTTCCACTTATTCGACTAAGTGGATTGCTTTGATGGTAGTCGTGAATTTTAATTATCAAGGCACTCGGAAGAACATCATGACATGCCGGGTCTTTTGACAACTGCTGAACTCCCTCCGAAGCAATTTCACAGTTCCAATACAGAAGGAACTTTTCTCTTCTCTCTTGTTTCGTTTGGTAATCATTGTGATACCCAAGAAGAAGAAGCAGATCAAAAAGTCGACAAGTCACACGCATACTTTCCAATACCCAAATACTTTCCGTTTCGACAAATTTGCTATCTACTGTGACACGCCAAATTGTTTCGCGTCTCACTCCAACCACGTCGTTCAGCAAACGAACGAACGAACGAACAAACAAACAAACAAACAAACTTGCCATAAAGGCAGCTTGTTCCATCGTAGCTGACCACGTTCACATTCACATTCACATTCCATACTCCATACATTCAAATTGAACTCCCCAACAACCTTAATCATTCCCATTTCCTCCGACACAGAGCCAGAAACGATGATTTCCATTCCTCCACCGATCGAACCACCGACGCGTCAATCCATGAACCGGCAATCCAGTCTCTTTGGTTCTATGCGCAAGTTGCTCTCTGAGGAATTCGAAATTCAAAAGTCGGTCTTGACGGAAGATCTGATGGTGTGGAGGGCCGGGTGTTCCAAGAAGGAATTGGAGTTTCGAGACCAAATTCGGTCCTTTGAAGATGACTTGGCGTCACCAGACTACATAAACAAACTCAACACGACGATTGAAACACGCATGTCTTCCTGCCAAGAGAGTACCGAATACTACCAATCCAATCCAGATCTCAAGGAATACACCTTGGAAAAGGAGCTGGATCGCATACCGTACACTCTCATTACAACCGATGGGAAACGGCAGCTGACCAAATCCGATGATATTCGAAACTATGTGGCCACGGAAGAAACCGAGGAAGAAAAAGAAAGCCATTCTATCTTGTATAGGGCTGCTAACCAAAGTATCTTTGCCGATGTCATTGTCGCCTTGACTTGCTCGGATGGATTGGTCCGACCACAGCTCCATGCGGGAACCTTTGTGGACAAGTGCTCCCTCACCATTGATTTGTCCAAAAAGGATCCACATGTTCGGGCAACATGCTTTGTCAATGTTTCGATTCCAGATGCCGAAGGACACCGTCTTTCCATGGCATCCGTACTGGTTTCCATATTTTATTGCCCTTCCAAGGAACAACTGCGATCCGGGATCATGCATCTCCTTCCACACAAGCGTCTTACGGACGAGGAAGTCGCTGGTGCTGCCCGATCGTTGGCGTACTAAACGTTATCAACACGAACAACAAACAACAAGCAAGACTTTTGTGCCACGCAAGCACAAACATACCGACCTGATATTATCCCTCGTTCACTATACTGGAAAAGTTCACAATGAGCTTGTCCCGCCCCACCGAGACATATAGTTACATCCTGCACCGAATTTATAGACCACATCACATTTAAAAAAGAGAAGCCAACGAAAATAGCCAAATTGTAATATTAATACTAGCAATATGCATTTTTATACTATTCTTCAATCAGATGAGTGTAGCGTGTGCGAGCAACTTCATTGCTGCTTTCTCCAATTTTACATGATGCGTGAGGATACTCCAACTTGACGGCTGAACTCTTGTTCGTACCAGTTGGAATCAATGGGTGGGAGTTCGACCAAATCCAAGTAGGTATCCAAGATCTCCAAGGCGGCGGCATAATGTCCAATCGCCTCCTTGTCACCTTCTTTGCCCTTTTTGACTCGCTTTTCCATGGCATCCATTTCCTTGAAAAAGGCCTTGGCGGCCTTGACACTTGGCAAGACATCTGGTGGCTTTTGTTGATTGATACGAAAGGCATTTCCTAGTAGATACATGCTGGTCTTCATATCATTGTAGGGAGAGTCGCGGACCTCTTGTCCTTTGCAGGATGAATCCTTTTTGGTGCACTGACCATTGATGGATTGTGATCTAGCTTCGACGACGACCAAGGCATTGACATCAAAGAATTTCTTAATGCTGGCAGAACTCATATCGCCCTTGACAACTTCGGGACCGAGCAATAGAAAATCGTGAACGGCAGCTTGTACTCTGCCATAGTATCTTCTCTTGGCAATAGGAATAGTACTATATGTATTGATGATCAGGAAGAGCATAACAAAGATGAGGAATGAAAAGATGGAGTGAGCGCAAACCGGAGTAGCATAGGATCATGTAGCAAGCAAGCGAAAACAAATGAATCGAAACCGGGTATCATCAGCTCACGTGCTAGATCGAAATCGAAAAGAAAAATGCCAGTAAATGGTGACATGTGACATCCTCCTCCAATCCATAAAAATCGTCATTCCTGCTGTGATGATAATGGAATTATTTTTCTGGTATATGAAGACTCACGTGTATTTTCCTGCAGTGGCACCTCCACTAGCAAACGCTGCCTTTGGCTCCAAACCCAAAAATGCACCTCCAGCTACCAATGCTCCAGCCTTTTGCAACATGGACCGTCGGCTATCGACCACTGATGATTGCGAATGATGCTGATTGGATTGTTGTTGAGGAATCAAGGCTTGGACGGCAGCTGCAGCCAGCATAAGGTTAGCAAGGATGACTGAAACTTTCATTTTTCCGATAGTGTAATTGAAGTTGGTAGATACCCAGAATCAATCAAGATGCGTGGTGCTCAAAGAATCAATGCAGCTGTCGTTTTCCTTTTTCCCCCACATCGTCATCGTTTCACCATTTTTCGTTTGTGGCTTTTTCTGACGTGGGTGGCTCGATTCAATCGAATAACACAGAGGCGTCCGTTCGTGGACAGGTGTTTCTTCTTGATGAGAACACTTGCCAACTGTTGCCTCAAAACGCATGTGGTACAGTTTTTACGACACCTGCGTAATTCTGAAAAACCGTGTCAGGGATTGAGAGGTCTAAAATAAAACTCTCTCTTCAACAAAACAAATGTTGAGAAGAAGTTTCTGCGAGACGGACTTAAAGTTCATGCTCAACATGTTGTTATCTACAGAAACCCTTTGTGCAAATACTTTGTGAAACGTTCTTATCAAACCGAAGGCTAAGGAACTCAAAGAAGGCAGTTGAGTTAGCATGTGAATTGTCAATAAACAACTGGCAAGCTGGCATGCTCGCAGATTTGACATGGGGAAGGTGGGATGTACGGCCGAAAATACACATACGGAATATCGCATGTAGAACCCGTACCAGAAAAAAGTCGCTGTTCAAAATGTACCAAACACTACGAGCGGGAACTCATCTGTTCAAGCCAACTCCAATTTCATAAAAAAACACAACTCGTCCTCTGGACAACCATCTCTCTTTTCACCACTTCTTTCTTTAATTCTTCACTGACTGGTCAATTCCGTCACAACAAACCCCCCTTTATCATCAACTATACTATGCATTAAATCGTCTACCTGCTAATAACCATTGGTGAGTCCTCCATTGCCCAACCATCTTGCATTGACTCGTGTTGGTGTTCTTCCCGAAATTTGCCAAGCAAAAGGTTGGCCAGCGATGGTTTTAACGGAAATCTATCGGTTTTACTTAAGGCATGACAAGGTTGCGACAAATTAGATTTAATGTCCGGTACTCGTTCTCTGCCCCAATCCGAGCTTTTCATCGAACAAAAAGTCTACGTAACGAACAAAATTTTGATTGTCGCTCACCTCTTGTCTCTGTTGACTCCCTTCTTCCATTACAGAGATTAATTGAACTAGCTTTGTCGGGTCCTTTCCCTGCCTTTGGCTACTTTGACTGATCTTGTTTCAAGAAGCCTTACCTTCTCAATTCAATCACTTTACCTATACAACTACAACACCAATCCGAACTTTCAACAATATGACATCCATGTCAACTACATTCAACACCTGTAAAGTCAATGTCAAGCTCTGTGGATCAATACCACGCGATGAGAATCTCTCTCTGGTGCAATGTGCACCTTTGATGCTTCCATCAGGTCCCATGAACACATACCTCTCTCGTTCGAGTCGTAATTCTGAATCATCTCTTGATTGCATGTCCATTGATGAGGGACAAAACGTTGCCTCGCAACTTTGTTCCCAACTCTCCTCTCTGGAGAAACAACGATCACAGCCAAGAAATGAATACGATGCCCCGGGATGGGCGGTTCCTGCTTGCGGGGAAGCAAGACTTGAACCTGTATTTGATTCTATCGATAGACAACCACCAATTGATCTTACCAATCAAGCGGTATTCCGGGTAGGACGTTCACCGAACTCTGATGTGAAACTCGCTCACGTTACCAGCTCTCGTAAGCATGCAATGCTCTTTCATCACTCGAACGGTTCATGCTACGTGATTGATTGCGAAAGCGCACACGGCACTTACGTGAATGGGGCTCGAATCGTTTCTCCTCCCAATGGAGGAGTGGTGATTCCTCACAAGGTGAAACGAGGTTCTATCATTCGCTTTGGTGGACCCGGCGCACCTTCGTTCATGCTCAAATCCTTTTCATTTGAATTGGAAGAGATGAGACAGTTTCCAACAGTGGCACATTCCACTCTTTCTCCTGCTTCTGCAGTCAATGCGGAAGTGGAGCACAACACACGATACAACGCCCTTGGACCAACTGCAAGAAGCTCATTGCTCAGCACTCTGACTAGCAAGCGCAGCTTTGATTCCATGTCCACTGTGGAAGACTTGGACTATCAAGAGAAGGACGAAATGAGATGCTCCTCTCCTCCGTTGTCGCCACAACAGCAACAAGTCCGATTGGTCTCCCCTGACCTATCGCAACCTGGACACAAGCGTCGCCGAGTTAGTTTCTCGAGCGCACCACCCAAGGCCTTTTACGCAAACCTAGTGAGCCCCAATCTTTCTGGAGATGAAAACGAATAAAACAACAAAACGAACAGAAGAACTGGACTGATATACTTACAACAACAAAACAAACTACAAAAACTACAATCTGTGAAATAATATAATATAGAGAACTCTTTTTTAAAAAAAAATCTGTGTTTCTTGCCTTCAGAATGCAGAAAACTAACATCAATATGGATAGTAATTAATTTTTAGTGTGACATGTAACTATAGAAATACTAGATACAACAAGTACCGTCTGTGCTGGACACTACAGTAAGCATCTGTGCATTACTCGACGCAGCAATATGCACCTCTGTGACGAGACAAGGATGGGTGAGATCAATCAAAAAATAATGTGCGCTAACACTTCAAGACTCAGACAATATTATCATCGTACCCGTTCCAATTAGCTGGTTTTTCGCTATACCCCACGCCCGGACAACCTGAAGTGAAAGCGAAAATGTGAGAACAAACAGCAAGTGAAATGAAGAGCGAGGAACAGACACGATAATACACAAACCTGGAAGGGGTTGTCCCACCCATCTCCCTGAACCATCGCTCAACCATCCATAGGAGCAAAGTTCATATCCCATGATCTGCTGTTTACTACATAGCCCCATTCCCTTGGTTTGACATGCCTCGGACGCGGCATCGCGAGTACCATAGATATATGAAGTAATGCCTGTCGGGCCATCATCCGGCAAGTAGTACGGTCTTCCACAGCTGTTGTAACGGTGAGACGGGAATGACGCTACCATACAGTACACGGCAGAAAGGAAGAATTTGGGTACTTACCAATATGCACCAATGTTCGACCAACCCGTTGCATCATTGAAACCAATTTGGCCACACACTCCCGGATTATCTGCGTTATTCATCCACCAGCCAGCCCCGTCAGATAACCATGATCCAGCACAATACTCAAAATTGGTAATGGCGGACTTAGGGCATAGAGCAAGACCTTTCGCTTCGCAGCCTTTTTTAGCGTCCTCGCGATTCGTATAGGCGGCTGGAATGTGGATGACGTAGTGCTCATTTACCAAATGGTCCCCGTTCATAGGCTCAAGCGATGGACGCGAGCTCGGCATTGAAGTTGGTGGTGGGGTTGGTGGAGGCGTCGGTGGAGGAGTTGGGAGTGGAGTTGGCGGTGGAGACGGGGCGGAAGACGGTGCCGAAGAAGGTGCGGGAGTCGGCTCAGGTTCGACACAGCAATATGCGCCTCTGCGACGAGACAATAGGTGAGATCAATATAGATGATCCGTCAATGGAACAAACAGACAATATTATCATCGTACCCGTTCCAATTAGCTGGTTTTTCGCTATACCCCACGCCCGGACAACCTGAAGTGAAAGCGAAAATGTGAGAACAAACAGCAAGTGAAATGAAGAGCGAGGAACAGACACGATAATACACAAACCTGGAAGGGGTTGTCCCACCCATCTCCCTGAACCATCGCTCAACCATCCATAGGAGCAAAGTTCATATCCCATGATCTGCTGTTTACTACATAGCCCCATTCCCTTGGTTTGACATGCCTCGGACGCGGCATCGCGAGTACCATAGATATATGAAGTAATGCCTGTCGGGCCATCATCCGGCAAGTAGTACGGTCTTCCACAGCTGTTGTAACGGTGAGACGGGAATGACGCTACCATACAGTACACGGCAGAAAGGAAGAATTTGGGTACTTACCAATATGCACCAATGTTCGACCAACCCGTTGCATCATTGAAACCAATTTGGCCACACACTCCCGGATTATCTGCGTTATTCATCCACCAGCCAGCCCCGTCAGATAACCATGATCCAGCACAATACTCAAAATTGGTAATGGCGGACTTAGGGCATAGAGCAAGACCTTTCGCTTCGCAGCCTTTTTTAGCGTCCTCGCGATTCGTATAGGCGGCTGGAATGTGGATGACGTAGTGGGAGGAAGTCAATTCATCTCCAGTCATTGGAGAGAACGTTGGGTTGGCAGTAGGAGCAGTGCTTGGTGCACGAGTAGCTGCTGGCGTCGTCGGGCTCGGTGTTGGACGGGGCGTGGGAGCTATCGTAGGTGGCTGACTTGGCTGACTTGATGGCAGCTCGGTAGGTTCCTCAGTTGTGGGACTAATGACAGGAGCGACTGTTGGATTTTCCGAGTTTGCCGCTGATGGAGCCGACGTTGTTGCAGCGGCAGAAGGAAGGTTGGTTGGCTCCGTGGTAATGCTATCAATGGCAGGAGCGAGTGTTGGCTTTTCTGGCGCGGTCAAACTTGGAGCCGTTGTAGGCGAAGCACTGGATACGCCCGTTGGACGATCGCTTGGAGCTAGTGTTTGATCTGTTGAGGAGATCTCTGTGGCTGTAATTCGGTTATAGGGAGAGGAAAAGGGAGACTCCAGCGCCCACAACGCAACGAGGTCTTCGGTGCCAAGAGCGTCCTCGATAATATTATTGATGGATCTTGGTAGTTCCTGGCCTTGCAACTGGACAGTCATTGCAGCCACAACAACATGACAAGGACCGGAATGCTCGAGCACACAAGGTCCGCCTTCCACAAGCGACAAGCTGACAACACTGTTGAAAACGACGTATCGAATCTCGGTCTGTCGCACCAAAACAACATCGGAACATCCTGCCAAAGCCGGCATGAAACGTTGTTGCATTGCTTTTTGTATTTCTTGCAGATCAAGTTCGATATCCTCGCTGGAGAGCTCTACTTCCAACTCCAACTCGTGGTTCCTAGTAAAGGTCTCGATTTGGATACTTCGATCAGCACCACTTGCGATTCTTCGACAATCCTCCTCATTGGGTGGAGGATACTTGAGAGCTTTTGTCGGTGGACCAGTTGGCGCGATTGTACTCGGAGCTAAAGTGACATTGGCAAAAGTAGGGCTCGCCGTTGTTTCCGGCAGTGCTGCTGCTGCTGCTTGTTCGGAGGTCCCACGAGTTCCAAAGTAAGCTCCTGCACCCCCGCAGGCACCCAAGATGAGCACAACAAGGATGATCATGCCAACAGGACGCTTCTTCCGCTCTGCTAGCGGCTCTTGGTTTGGCGAGGAAGCCTCACCTCCGCTTTCAGTCTCCCCCTGAACCTTTGGTTTTGCTGCTTCTATCTCTTCGACAGCCATGGCTTCTAGCAATACCTCGCCCTCTTCATTGGTGTTGAGCTCCACAGATTTCGATGGCTGCTCCTTTGGTCCCTCTTCTTCATTTGCCAAGCCTGCAGCTGCCAACTTTCGCTGGACTGCATCATTGTTTGCAAGTGGCGGAGCGGGAGTTCCGTTGCCGGACCTACCGGAACCTTCCCCTTTTGCCGCTTTTCGGCTTTGTCTTTGCGCTTCAGGGCTCATTGGCGAGGACGTGACCGCACCAGGACCAGAAGCAGGCTTGGAAGTGCGACTTTTTCCAGAAGCCCGGTGCCTGTCGGAGGATGTCACCGCACCAGGAACCGTCGCTGGCTTGGAGGTGCGGCTTTTGCCAGAAGAAGCACGACTCTTTCCTTCCGATCTGGAAGAGGAATGGCCTTGGCTGCGATCACTGCGATTGCTTGCACCGCTTGCTTTGACAGAGCCTTTTCTCGATCTTGGAGACGCTTCAGTGGCAGCAAATGCTCCAGGAGCAGCAGATTTGCTGCTGTCACGTCCACTGCGAGCTCGATCTTTTTCCCGGCGGTCACTGGACTCTCTGCGACTGCTGGAAGACTTACCGCCGCTGTGTTTGCTTCGTTCTTCACGAGCTTTACGCTTGGCATTTCTGTCTTCTTCCTCGTTTGATGGCATCTTTCTTTCTCTTGTTATTTCGGGGTGAGTAAGAAAAATCTGGCTGAGACGACGAAAAAGAAGACGAGGAAGATTTTGGAGCCGGCAGTTGGGGTATTCTTCACAGAACACCAAGTACCTGGTACCGATACCCGATACCAGTGTACGACCGCTGCGTGTCCGTTCAAATATTCAATTATGACAAATGACCAAGTGACTACAATTTTAACGCTTCCAGTCAGTCACGAAGCAGATCAATCATCTCCTTTCAGTATTCCGGATTAGCCTTCTATCTTCTCTTTTTTATATCGGTAGTCTAGGAGCCAATTATGGGATGATCCGTTGGAAAGACGTATCGGAACGAAAACGCTCACTGTAGACTACAATGGTACGCGTACTGGTAGGAAGCGAAACAAAGCATTCCACAATGTAATATGCTAAAGGTTGTTGTTAGTACTATTTATAAGATGATACCTTTAATGGTGTGCTGCTATGGATGCTCAGCCCTTGTTCTCTCGCAGCTAATGAAACGTCTAAGGAACGTTTCAATCCTGAGTCAGCCATTCCGGTATCTTTATCGGCTCTCCAGAATTATTATCATTAAACCCGGGATGGGACCAGGCAACCTTTTGTTCGGCCTGCCATACCATGCTGCGATACGTGTTCCTGTCTTGCATCAGTTCGCGTTGTCGCTTTTGAAAAACTTCAATCGATGCTTTCCAAATGGCGATCGAGTATTTACTCTGTTCATTTTCCCCGTGAAGTCTTTGAATGACTTCTTTGTAGTCTTTGAGTTCTTCGATCTTTGCCTCCAACTCCAACTTTGCATCAACCAATGCTTCTTCTGCTCGTGCTACCTCGTCTTCATGCTGCTGCTTTGAAGGCGACGGTTGCTCTTGAAGTACCAGCTTCGATACGATACCCGGAAGGAGAAGCAGCAAAGCTGCGATAAAAAAGGATACAAATATCCTGGTCAATTCGACAGGCCCAATGAATTCGTTGTCTCGGTCTGGCGAGTTCAAGAAGTCATTAAATGCCGCATCTGCATCTTCGACCCAACAACTGCTTGCAGACTCTAATTTGGTAACGTACCAAAGTAAAGAATAGTGTGTCTCTTCATCCACTTTGATCTGGAGATCCTTTTCCAAGATAATCTTGACTTCGTGTGGGAAAATGGCATTGGGATCCTCTCCACTCGAACGAATGGCGTAGTCCAGTAGTTCTTTGCCCGTCAGAGCAAAGGGCGCATTCTGGACATCTTCCACAAGAAAGGTTTTCCCGTTTCCCGTAGGATTTTTGCAGTATTGGCTGGCTCTACCAACTCGTCCCGCCGGTGTCGACGTGTATTGCAACAAGATCGCCTTTGAGTAAATGTTGCCTTGAAGGAGAACGACATCTCGCATTTTCTGTTCTTGGAGGATTCGGGATGCTTCCAAGTAAGTCACTTTGTTGTTGGATACTGTGGACTCTTGAAAGGTTGGAAAATCGCCGAGGAAAAGACATTTTCCTCCGTTCACAATATTGGAAACGATTCGGTTGCGACGAGTGTAGCGATGATCTGGAATGATACGACGATCGAATCTTTGGATAACCATGGCGGTCTCGTTTGTTGGCTTTCGAAATTGCATGAGGAAGAAAGAAGGAAAGAAAGAAAGCTGTTGCGATTTGTTGCCGCTGTGATTTGTGACACGACGATCAGGTGGTGTGGACTTTTTTTCGTTTGGATTTGAAAACCGACGAGAGAGGTTTTCGTTTCGCACGCACGACTCACTCACTCCTCAATTTTGGGATCGAATGAGTCGAACTGTAGCAATGGTTTGATGCAAAAAACAAGAAGAATCGTCAATAGTTACAGGACAATACAATATTACAGTATTCAAAGTGTAGAAAATGGCTTACAATGGAGGGATGCAAGGTTTGCCCCTGTTAAAAATAAAGGCATAGCGATGCTGCCAGTGAGAAAATGACATTGACTACTAGCTCTCTCAAAAAGACTTGACATCATGGCCTCCAGCATCTCCTCAATTCATTAGTGTAGTGTACAAATTGGATTGTATAGACAAAGGAACAAAGACGAGTATCCAATCATTGACAGATTGACTTTCCTATCGGATGACATTCAAAAGTCTGTGCATCTTCCTTTTCGTTCCCAGTCACCAAATCGTGTAGGTTCTGCCAATCGGCCACCCCGTCGGGGTCCTCCCCATTCCACCATGTCGTGTTCAAACGATTCGTGGGCATCCACAAACATTTCTTCTTCATCGTCGGAATCATCCTCGTCAGCGTCAACGTCTCCACAGGCTTCCACCACAACCTTGTCATCTTTAGGAGCAGAAGTAGTTGCAGTTGTTGTTTCCTCTCCAGCAGCCTTGGTTTGGGACACCATTACTTGTTCGGCAAGCGTCGTAGAAGTTCCGGAAATGTTTCGAATTCCAGTGGACGCGGCCATTCTAGATGCTGGAGTGGAAACGTTGGCAATCTTGTTGGCAAACGAGAAGAACGTACGACTGCTGCTGGCACTACGACAGGCAGCTGTTTTCCATTGCGATCGTGCACTCTCCAATACTATTCTGCGGGAAAACATCTTTCGATTCTTCTTCTAGTGATGATGATGGTTATGATGAATATGCTTCGTGTGTATACAATGCTGGTACGGATGCACTTGTAAAGCACGAGTTGTTGAGACTCTCTCTCTCTCTCTTTTGCGAATAATGATGATGACTCACTCCACCACGGTACCACTCACATACAACAGATGGAATTCGCATTGTCAATTAGACGCGCCATCTTTCGCGCGATCTTCAGTTCCACGACTCACTCACTCGCCCGACAACACAAACAACTCCCATACATTCAACATACCATCAATCATCGCATAACGCCTGAAAATTGAAACTTGTCATCATGAAATGAATGAATGAACTTGCCCGTACGGTACCTGGTACCATCGGTTGAAGCTGTGCACCTATACCATGAGTCTCTCTCCCGGGAAAGAAAATATTCGAGTTTTGGTTCCCAACGCACTAGGTGGAAAATGACGGGGGATTCAATATTTCCCAAGGGTGGAGAAGTCTGCAATCAGTTTGGTGTCTGCAACAACTACCACTATGATCTTTGACTTTCATAAAAGAAAAACTGCACACTTGGTTGCAATACAATACAGTATAACTACTTGTTGATTTTCAAACAAAACGTTTAAGCATCATGGTGAAGATTGTTGTGGATTCAGCGCTTCACGTTTGCCTCGTGTTGGGGCTCGTTTCCAGCGTTGTCACGGCTCAAGAAGGAACCACCAACGCTGATCCATTGGTCAAGGGTCCTCTGCGCCATCGAGCTGCTCGTCTTGGTTCTCGACCCAACCTTTTCAATCTTGGTGACTTTTGGAAGCAAGCCAAGTCGGATCCTGCTGGTACCCTCGCTGAGTTGGAGCAAACCAAGCAACAAGCCGACACTGATATTGAAGATTTGATGGGCATGATTTTGGAGTCTGGATTTAGTATGGACAATACCAATCCTCCCACCCTGCGCTCTTCTACCTCTCGAGCTCCCACTGGAATGCCATCCCGAGCACCAACTGTGGCACCTAGCAAAGTTGCGTCCTCTGCGCCTACTACCATGGAACCTACTGTCTCGATGGCACCTTCGACCACCACTGCTGATCCAACATTCCAACCCAGTGAATTGCCCACCGATTTGCCAACTGCATCGGTCCGTCCCAGTATGGCTCCTACGGATGAAACGAACGCTCCCACTACTTCTAGCAAACCTAGCATTTCTACCAAGCCCAGCAATGTGCCTACCAACCCACCATCTGTCAGTGAGGGCCCAAGCGTTTCCCAAGCACCATCGGGAAGACCTTCGGTCTCGGCCGCACCAACAGCATCTACGCCCAGTACATCGCCCACGGTCTCTGGCTCTCCCACGGTCTCGATGCAACCATCTAGCAACGCCCCGTCCGATGCGCCATCAATGTCGAGTGCTCCATCGGAACAACCAACTGAAGCTCCAACGGAACAACCAACTAAAGCTCCAACGGAACAACCAACTGAAGCTCCATCCGAAGAACCAACCTTGGTACCAACTCCTTCTCCTACCATCTCGACCGCTCCTACCATAGCCGGTGGTCTACCAGTTCCCTCGAAAAATCCTTCCCAATCTACTCTACCATCCTTGGCTCCTTCTGTCATGGCATCATCCTCTCCAACCTTGTCGGGACAACCCACTTTGGATTTGGTGCCTTCCAGCTTGCCATCCAGCCCCCCTTCCATATCCATGAAGCCATCCATTGCGCCTTCTCTTTCGGCAACACCCACTTCGTTTGGTTCTACTGTTCCCTCGCAAGGCCCATCTTTGGCTCCTTCCGGATCGACCAAGCCCAGTACAGCACCAACGGCACTGCCATCCATTGTTCCTACCACTTCGAAAATGCCAAGTTTGGTTCCGACCAGGGCTCTTTCTGACGTTCCAACTGGTGCTCCTACTGTGAGCGCCGGTCCGAGTAGTCTTCCTACTGTGTCCGTGGCACCAACTAGCGCACCCTCTGTCAGCATGGGACCAAGTGAAGTACCGACCGTTTCTACCCAACCATCTGGTGCACCATCCACCAGCACCCGTCCAAGCAAGGCCCCTACTGTGTCTATGGCACCAACTAGCGCACCCTCTGTCAGCATGGCGCCAAGTTCACTACCAACTGTCTCTCCCCAACCATCTGGTGCACCATCTGCGAGTGCTAGTCCAACAAGTCTTCCTTCTGTGTCTGTGGCACCAACTAGCGCACCCTCTGTCAGCATGGCGCCAAGCTCACTACCAACCGTCTCTACCCAACCATCTGGTGCACCATCTGCGAGTGCTAGTCCAACAAGTCTTCCTTCTGTGTCCATGGCACCAACTAGCGCACCCTCTGACAGCATGGCGCCAAGCTCACTACCAACCGTCTCTACCCAACCATCTGGTGCACCATCTACGAGTGCTAGTCCATCTAGTCTTCCTTCTGTATCTATGGCACCATCCCCGGCTCCTACCAACAGCTTCAAACCGACTGGGGCTCCAACTCTATCGATGCGTCCATCGTCATCCCCTTCCGTCAGCAGCAACCCTAGCTCGCTTCCAACACTATCCACGCAGCCCAGTGGGTCACCGTCGGTCAGTTCTAGTCCCAGTGCTACTGCCACAGTTTCGGTCCGTCCATCGGCTACCCCAACGACAAGTCTTGTACCAAGCAGCACACCAACTGTTTCCAAGCAGCCTTCACTGGCACCTTCAGTTTCTGCGGCTCCCAGTTTGTTGCCATCCAATGCACCTTCGGATTCCTCGGCTCCCACTTTTGTTCCTACCCTTTTGACATGTGGAATCACCGTGGAACAACGCTCGGTGGACATTCGAACCAACATTTTGACGGTGAGTGAAGAAGCCTTGTTGGATGATCCTCTCACTCCACAGGGCCAGGCTTTGGCTTGGTTGATTGAAGATGACGACCGCCTTTTGTGTCCACCCGACGACTTGATTCAACGATGGGCCGTGGCAGTCATGTACTTTTCGACGAATGGTGACAATTGGGATCAGTGTTCGGATGTCGGAATTGACCTGTGTGGTTCGCAAGACCCGTTCTTGACCAAGCGAAGATTTTTGAGTTCCTTTAATGAGTGTCAATGGGCTGGAATCTCTTGCAATATTTTTTCCAAGGTGACTGAAATTGAATTTGAGGAGAACAACTTGGTTGGAACCATTCCAACAGAGATTGGCGTAAGTGATTCTTTTTTGTCTGTGCGATGCTGTTCTCTGTTGCAACGTGAATCTGACTTTTCTGTCTACTTTCTTCTCTTGAACACAGTTGCTCACTGACTTGGCCATTTGGGGAATGGAGCGTGGAGGTTTGACTGGTCCCATTCCCTCTCAGATTGGGGTACGTGTTTTGGGCTTTTGTGTAACTAATTTCCGTTCAAAACTTGTCTGACCTCTTGCTTTGCTCTCTTGATTCAGAACTTGAGCAACCTCGTCTTTCTCGATTTGGATTTCAACGATTTGAGTGGGACAATTCCTATAGAGCTATATTCGCTAGCTGGTCTCACTCAGTTTGATGTCAACAACAATCGTCTTTCGGGAAATATTGATCAAATTGGTGTATTTGAACAGCTTGAGTTCCTCCAAATCCATTCGAACTTGTTTACCGGAACAATCCCGGCCAGCATGGGAGCCTTGACTCGGATGACTACATTTACATTGCATGGGACTGGTTTTACAGGTGCCGTGCCAGATGAAGTGTGTACCTTGCGTGATATCAATGGAGGCCTTTTATCTTCTCTGATTGCCGATTGTGGTATCCCTATTGGCGCTGTGAATCCAGAAATTTCTTGCATTTGTTGCACCGATTGTCGAATCGCCTAGCTGAATGGAATGAATCGAATCAATCTGTATTATTGGTAAAATATATAGGGACTCTACCTAATTGACGTTCTACGAGTAGTAAATAAATGAAATCAAGCACATTATATTTACCAAAAGACACCGGCACGGTCAGTCTGACCTCCACCTCCAACACAACGACTACACCCGGCTTGCTCGCAGAAATACTGCTCGCAGAAACAGCGAAGACAAAATATTACACACATCACACATCACCACATAAAAAACATCACCACCAGAACGCACTGTTGCTGTCCTTTTGTTTTGTGTTGTTCCAACCCAATCCGTGAACAAGCTGAATCTTCCTTCTTCTTTCATTAGTACTAGCCAGTGGCACTTCCAATTCCTCAGAGACGGGTTCTTCCTTCATCCGCTTCTGCATACTGAGCTTTTTACATATCTGTTCCTCAACTTTCATTGCGCAGAGTGACAAACAGTATGTAGCATAAAAGCTTCATTGTGTTGTGCCAAGTCCTCGCTTTAACAGGTTGGAGATTTGGTGCATTGGAGTAATGAAGATGGCTGGATCGTCTGCAGGTATGGATGCTGCTGTGCTACTGTCATCAAGAAAAGGAGGGCTAGGGTTTGACTATGACTGGTGACATCTCAGTTTCTAGCGGCCCCACACTTTCCTACACTAGTTACAACTGGGACAATGATACCGCCACTAGATTTTCAATTCAAGCCATGTTGTTCACCATGTTGGGAGCCGGCACTCTGGGAATGGTCAAAAGTTGGTCTTGTCAGACGGTATTGTCAGACTGGGACTTCATTTGTAAGGATATGCTGAGTTGCCTCCACCATCCGCAGCTTTCTTGTCGTCATCTCCTGATACACTGCGTTGCCTCTGCAAGCGCTATCATGGATTGTCATTATGATTGTCATCGTTGTCTTCATTGTTATTGTGGATCTTGGTGAATAGGTCATCCTCCATTCAACCTATGTTTTGTGTGTGTATGCTGACACCAACAATGTTTTGCCTTAAATTGTCATCACCTGGATCTGCTACTACTATTGATACAGCAGTGTATGTAGTGTCTGCTTTATTTGACGCAAAACAATACTCGGCTCTGCATCATCACCACCACACAGATGATTCAGAGATGGTTCAATAGTCTTGTTCGAATGGCTCATTGGCTTCCTTCAGCCACCTTCGTCCCTTGTTGGCAGCACCTGCTTTTCAATCTGCAACATGTAATCATTCTACAAGGCGGCAACTGCTTTGTTGCTTTTCAGGTTTTGCTCTCTTGTCTAGTTTGATATTATTCATATTCCCCACACTGATTTGTCAGACTGGGACTTCATTTGTAAGGATATGCTGAGTTGCCTCCACCATCCGCAGCTTTCTTGTCGTCATCTCCTGATACACTGCGTTGCCTCTGCGAGCGCTATCATGGATTGTCATTATGATTGTCATCGTTGTCTTCATTGTTATTGTGGATCTTGGTGAATAGGTCATCCTCCATTCAACCTATGTTTTGTGTGTGTATGCTGACACCAACAATGTTTTGCCTTAAATTGTCATCACCTGGATCTGCTACTACTATTGATACAGCAGTGTATGTAGTGTCTGCTTTATTTGACGCAAAACAATACTCGGCTCTGCATCATCACCACCACATAGATGATTCAGAGATGGTTCAATAGTCTTGTTCGAATGGCTCATTGGCTTCCTTCAGCCACCTTCGTCCCTTGTTGGCAGCACCTGCTTTTCAATCTGCAACATGTAATCATTCTACAAGGCGGCAACTGCTTTGTTGCTTTTCAGGTTTTGCTCTCTTGTCTAGTTTGATATTATTCATATTCCCCACACTGATTTGTGTGGACACATTGCAAAGACGGAGGGACCAGTGTACCGGTACCAGCACCAAAATCATATTAGATATAGTATATGTACAGTCAAATCGTATCTAGTAGAGCCAACAGCTCTTTTACTTTGTCTTCAGGTGTTTTTAAAAAGCTTCGATTCCGCTACCGACTTTTGAGTACAAATAGTAACTATCGTATCATACAGTATAAAATACAAGCAGTATTTGAATACAAGCAGTATTTGAACTTGTGAAAATTCGTGAATTATTTGATGGGTCTGTCCTTCCACTCCGATTTGGTTCACCAGATGTGGGAGGTGGAGGTCAGACTGACCGTGCCGGTGTCTTTTGGTAAATATAATGTGCTTGTTCGAACTGCACAACCTTGTACTCGTTTTTGTCAAACGAAGATGACCGCTCGACTCACTGGACTTTATTGACCGGACTAATTTTTTTTTAAAACACCACGGCAGGACCACTTTGCACTCGCTGACACTCCTCCTCCTTTCTGCCTTACGAAACTTCGCACTTTGTTGCTTCGAGTTTCTCCGAAGATTATTGGATATTGCGCCTCCACAACTTCTTCTCGGCCAAGCCAAGAACTCTGAAAACCCCTGGGCAGACAAAAATTGGGATACACGTGAGGGACAACAACGAGATGACAACAATCGGCAGATGCAACAATCTGATATCTCAAAGTGCACCAAAGGAAAAAATGGGCAGCATTCGGGATGCAATAGAAGAAAGCTTTCGATCAGACACGTCGAGTGCTCCTAAAACTGCCCGTTCAGATGATGGGAAATCTTGTCATTCTGCAACAGTAGACCTAAGTCCACAGATTTCCGCGAAACCAAGATCACATCAGATAGTGGACGAAGAAATGAAGGAGACTAGTGATGATGTGGGAAAAGCAGAGTCGATTGCTGAAAAACACAGGCGTCTTTTTAAGAAGAATCCCCAGCATTTGATACTGGCTCTCTTCTTGTTTGTAGTTCTGACTTCAAGTGGTGCATCTCTGGCTAGTGTCTTCGCAAGTTCCATATTGGATCATGAACAACAGGAAGCTTTGTTATTGGCATCCAAAACTGGTGGCTTCTTTTCTAAGAATCTTGACCAAGCCATTCTGCCCTTGTTCTCGCTGGCACAATTTGCCAATGAACTTGACGCTTTCAAAGACTTGCCTACCATGATACAGAACGTTCCTTTTTTGCCAAACAAGCTTGATCAAGGTGTCCCCACGCATCGGAATGTTACTGGTGTCTGTGATGATGCGTTGATAGTGGAAAAATTTGAAAAAATTGCAGGCGACATTAAACACAATGCCAAGATGGACGGCATTTTGGTGAATCTGCAGTTGGTTCCAGACGCTGTGGTCTGTTTGTCTCACCCCCTCATCAACACAGAGGACTTTCCTCCAGGAGTCATCATGGATAATTCAGGAGTCATTGGACACGATTTGTTGAATGATCCAGCTCGCAAGTTCATCGCCAGAGCAACAGTCCCGTCTGAAGATGTGGTCGTCGCAGGACCGCTATCACTGCGGCAATGTCAGGACTGCGATCCGGTGGTAGAGAAAGCGTTTATTGCGAGGTTGCCAATTGTATCAGAGACGAATATCATCACAGTGGATGGTGTTGGCTACAACCGATGGGGGTTTGCTGTGGCCATTATCAACTGGGAAGAGTTAGTTCTTCGAAGTGATTTGTATGAAGCGTTTGAAAATGAAGGAATGGAATTCCAATTGACACGAACCGATCGGACTTACAACCCAGAAAAAAGTAATTTTACCGAAAATGTAAGTTTGAATGATTCAAGCTGGAGTGCAAATGATACTCAAAACCGCAACTCACATGTTCGCTTTGCTTGCTCCTCTTCGTGCCCACGTTTGAAGGTTGTGATATTGGCCGAGTCGCCAAGTTTCTTAAATTCCAAAGGAAGGCAGGTCACTGCAGCACTGCCAACGACCAATAATGAATGGGAAATCACAGTCACATATTGCATCGATGGGTGCATCAATTGGTTCCCGGGGGTCATAGCCGCCACCTTAGTCTTCAGTCTTTGCATTGCTGTCTTAGTATACGTCATTTTTTCACAACAACAACTGCACAGCGATGTCCTTGCTGAGAAACAAGAGCAACTTGTACTGAATTCCAAGAAAGCTGCACAGAAAGAGCGAGAGCTGAATGATTTCATTGCCCATGAGGTCCGCAATCCACTATCGGCCGCCTTGTCTGCAGCCAGTTTTGTGTCGACTTCTGTTAATGAAAAGGAACCATTGCTAACAGAGGATTCGAGGAAGGCGGTCCGTGAAGATGTTCAGATCATTGAGTCGTCCTTGAAGTTCATCAATGATCTGTTGCGATCCATGTTGGATTTGCATCGGGCGAAAAGCAATCAGTTGACTTTGGAGCAATCTCCAACGGATATCAAAAGTGACGTTCTGGATCCAGCTGCATCCATGCTGTATCAAAGAGATGCCATGTTTTCGGTCGAAGTGCATTGCCCTGAAAACTTGATTGTGATGGTGGATGATCTCCGACTGAAACAAGTTGTTTTGAACCTTGCTCGAAACTCTTGCAAATTTGTTGACAAAGGATATGTGCGCCTGAGGGCAGGTTATACCACAGATGGGCTACTCATCAATATTGAAGATTCAGGGCCGGGAATTCCCCTAGAAAAGAGGTCGCAGCTATTTGACCAGTTTCAAGAGAGTCTGGACTCACTGTCACAGGGAACTGGCATCGGGCTATCGCTATGCAAGAAATTGGTAAACCTTATGGGAGGCACTATCAAACTTGACCAATCCTTTGATAGTGGTGTGGAAGGAATGCCTGGTGCCAAGCTAGATGTCTTTGTCCCTTGCGATCGCATTTCGGTTAATACATTGTCAACACGTGTCAAAGAATTGGACACACAGACATCATTGCTCGAAACTTCTGAATGCACTGATGAGAGCAGAATCGAGGGCACCCTTCCTGAAGAATTCCGTGCTCTCTTTGTCGACGATGACATGGTTCTACGAAAATTATTCACGCGGTCACTGAAACGAATTCGTCCCAAATGGAAGGTGATGGAAGCGTCGAGTGGAGAATCAGCATTGAAGCTTATAGAAACAGAGAGTTTTGACGTCATCTTTTTGGATCAGTACATGACAAGTGTCGAGAAACAATTGCTGGGAAGTGAAGTGGCACGGAAACTTCGATCATTAGGTGTGGAATCTCTCATTTGTGGCCTGTCTGCAAACGACATGGAGGAAGCTTTCATCTCGGCAGGCGCAGATGCATTTATGATGAAACCGTTTCCATGTAAGCCCGATGCACTTACCCAGGAGCTGCTGCGAGTCTTTAGTGTGAGGGACTCCAAAGATTATATGTGCTCGCTGCACACCACTGATATTTGACGATGTGGATTGGATCTCTAGCGCTCCAGTTGGTAATTAATAGCTGTACACTAGAACAAATCTACCTATATCTATGGAATTGCAATCTTGTATTTACCAGAATGCTTGAGACTGAACCCGCATGCCTCTTGAAGTTTTTATTTGCATAGAACTCAATGACACTGACCAATGGTTGCGTTTCTTCAAAAATATACGAACATGGATGAACAAGGCTACAGCGCCAGTATAAATTGTACGTTTGTGGTTCTTACTTGTTGCGACCTTTTTCCATGGATTGCGAAACAATGTTTGACGCCAAAGAAGAACCCCACTTATGTTGGAATATCATGATACAATTTCATTTTGCAGGTCAAAAGCAAGCTCCATTATCTATCTATCGACTGGTATTTTAGTGTATGGTGTATTCACCAGAATGCTAGCGATTGAACCTGCGGCCTCCTAGTGAACTTTTTCGGTGTACACAGCTCGATGGAATGAACCAATTGTTGTGGTTCTTCAAAGATGTACACATAAATGTCGACCGTATCACCCCATGGAACGACAAGGCCACAGCGCCACTCGTTGTCCATAATGCTTGATCGGATATAGGCCCGTAGCGGTACAAGTTCCCCTTTGGTTGTAATGTTAGACCGGTTGAGACGAAAATCTATACCCTTTGTATTCAGGACTGGCCGGATCCGAACGGTCAACAAAACAAGACGGACATTTCTCATCGGCTCGAGTGGTGCTCTAAGTGAAAACGAGCTTGATTCATTGACATTGCACTTATAGAGAGGTGTAGCCCTCTGTCGGTCCTCTCTAAGCGGGTCCTGTTTCCCGATAAGATTAAACTTCCCCATCCTTGAACCAGTCTGAAGGCTTCTTTGAGTAACTTGGTTAAATATTGGTAATTCCGACGTCCATGCACCGAGTGGGGGTCTCCATTCGGTGGTGAAATTATTTGAAGTCGTCATTGTCTGTTTCAAAACTCGTTTCACTTCCGTCTCCTCGCCACAATCCCATTCGTAGTTCGCACTATCAAGATTACTTTCGTTTGGATCTGAACTGCTGTCAAGGCGACGCGGGTCCATAAGGTTGAGGAGTAGAAAGGCGGTTGCCAAATGCCCTAACTTATTGATATGAGTGTAGTCAGCCAAGAACGGACAGCTTTCGTATTCATTACATTCTGGCATTTTGAGTTTATCAATGTAGCTGTCAAGGAGAGCGAGACCAATGAAGTTCAGAAACGGATGAAAACAAATGCGACACCAAAACCATTCAAAAAAAGAATGCATACCTTCCCATGTGAACATGTCCGACGACAAAGTCAAACTTTCGTGCGACTGTCCCATGTGCATCAAAAGCGCGAGATATGACATTGTTGGTTTTCTCGTCATGAGGAAACATATTCTCCCACTTGTAGATCAACAAGACCTTTGGCGGTCGCTTCATCATTTTCACCTGAGTTAACCGCGCAAGGAAGTTGTCCTTGGCAATCGTCATAATCAAATCGTGGTCCACTATAGACAGGGTAACGTCGTTGATGGAGAATTCCCAGATTAGCAAGTCAGTATCGGCAGGGATGAAATTTTCAAAAAAGATTGCTGTATGGAGTGAATTTCTAAACCCATGCCCTTGTCCTACCCACTGGATGATTGGTGGAACATGTTGCATCTGGTTGCTCGCAAGTAGGACATTCAAGTATTCAGCAAACTTGGAGTAGTAACGATCTTCCTGTGATATGGCGGGTTTCGCACCCCCTGCCGTTGATGAGCCACCGCTAGCTACGATTGTAAAATTGCGACCTTCTTTCTGTGCCTGCAGTATGCTCGAAATGAGTCTTCTGTAGGCATCTTCATTGTAACGTTGCACTGTGTCGCCTTGGGGAAGCGGAAATGCGGCATATAGATCAGACATTGCGAATTGAGTTGCTTCATTCGAATCCAGCAATGGTTGCCAAAGTCGTTGTCTCTCCTCAATTGGGACTTCTTTCGTCCCGTTTGTTGCATCAGCTGGAACATAATGTCTCCAAAGGCTCTCCCACAGACTCCTGTCGCTCTCCTTCTCGTCGACCATCATCGGGTCAGACACGTTGTTTTCTTGGTTCTTTGATTGATCTTGGTATTCAAGCTCGAACAGTTTCTGAATCGAATCATTATGCAGTGCCTGACTCACTCCAGACACTTGTTGTGAAACATTCAATGGTATCCCTGAATTTTTCGTCGTTATGGATGAATTATATACTAAAGGATTTGGCAGGAAAAGGACCATGTCATAACTTATCAAAAGTGGCACATATACAAATGAAAGTATTGCAATCACACCAAAGGCTCGCAGTCTTGTTGATGTCGTCATACTTTCAGCTTCTTATGTAGACGAAGGAATCCACGGAATTGAACGACATCAGGCAAGGCTGTTGTATGTACCGGCTGAGTATTAGTAGAACTTGAGTGTTTCGATGCGGTGCGGGACGAGACGAGATGAAAGACCGATTTTCAATTTGGGACTTTTCCAGCTCGGAGATGAGTACAACTTTATTTTTTTCAAGAAAACAACGAAAATGTCTCCCAATATACGGTAACACTGGTTCCTTGGACGGACTTGTTGAATGAATATAAGGTTATGGATGGTTGGCTTCTTTGTTCCTGACAATGCTTCAAAAGGAGAAATAATTTAGACAAAGTGTAGTAGACCTACTGTAGTTGCGCGGATTGTATGAATTGTCTCTATGATCTATTTTATATTACTACAGTATTCTATTGGATTCGCCTTGCCGCTTCACCAGAATACTACCGATTGCACCTTTGGTTTTGGGATGGGAATGGTAGGAGTACACAGTTCCATGGAATGGACAGTTGCTTGTGGTTCATGAAAGACGTACACATAAACGTCAGCCGAATAGCTCCAGGGACACGAAAAATGGCAGCGCCACTCTTCTTGAATATCGAGATTCCTCTTGACCCGCACTGGGACCAGCTCCCCCTTCGCCTTCTCAGTGGAACCATTTAGACGTACCTGAAAGCTATCACTGTCCATCAAGTCTTGGTTCCTAAAAGTAAACAAAACGACTCGAGCATTTCTCAGTGGTTCGAGTGGTGGTGTCACCACTACTGAAAAGGAACCCTTTTCATTGTCATTATCACACATATAGATAGAGATTGCTTGTTGTCTGTCGATTCTCATAGGGTCCTCTGCACCAATGAGGTGGGGATTTCCCATCCTCGGACCTTCTACCAGGCGGCCGTGTGTATGCAAAGGTAAATCCGCAGTCCATGTGCCAATTGGGGGTCTCCACTCTTTCGATGGAGTAGTCGTGACCTCCTTCAAAATCCGTTTCGCTTCCGTCTCTACACCACAACTCCACTCGTAGTTGGCATCATCAATGGTAACATCCGCTGTAGGAGAAAGAAATTCGGAAGCTTTGTTTGGATTCAGAAAGTTCAGCAGCAAAAACGCGGTCGCCATGTGTCCTATCTTGCTGATATGGCAGTGATCACTGAGAATGGGACACTGATTCCATTTCTCGCAGTTCGGAATTTGGAGTTCACCGATGTAATCGGCCAGGTGGATGTGCCCGATAACAAAAGGAAATTGTCTCGCCATGGTTCCATGGGCATCAAAGGCTCGACTGACAATCTTTTGCGTTGCGTTGTCTCGGTGAAATGGAGGGTCCCACTTATATATCAATATCACCTTGGGTGGATTCTTCATCCTCTTTACCTGATACAGCCACGACAGTAGACTATCTCGGGCACTCCTCAAAATCAAGTCTTGGTCCCTCAATCCAATGCTTGGGTCATTGATGGAGAACTCCCATATCAGTAAATCGGTATCGGAAGGAATAAAACTGTCAAAGAATATTGCTGTGTGCAGCGATGTTCGAAATCCATGTCCCTGATTTACCCATTGCACAGTTGGGGGTTTGCCTCCATCCTTGACAAAGTGTGCTGGTACTAATAATGCGTTCAAGTATCTAGAAAAACTGGGGTAGTATCGATGTTCTTCTGGCGTCGACGGATTCCCGCCTCCAGCCGTTGCGGAACCACCATTTGCCACAATCGTAAAGTTCCTTCCATCTCTTTGCGCCTGGATCAAGCTCGATATCAAACCGTGGAAGGCGTCTTGATTGTAGTGTTGTATGGCGTCTCTCGGGATGGGGAATGCGGCAAACAAATCCTGTACATGTTTCATGGATACGATTGGTGTCTGATCTGAGAGTTGCTTCCATGTTCTCTCTCGCTCTTTCATGGGCACATCGGTCGTCTTTATGGATGGGATTGTGGCATCTCTCCATATGATCTCCCAAATTCTCATATCATCAGCGTTTTTTATCCGTTCGTTTGGATGATGTTCATGGGCAACGGAGAATGCAAGCGATGATAATGAGGATGATGACCCATGGAGCATTGTGAGTGCAGTTATGCTTTTACGTATCGCAAGGAACAACAACAAGAATATTGCAGCTGCGGCTGCCTTGCGTTCTTGGCTTTGGTTTGGTGCCATTCTCTATGTTTGGATCAATAGGTACTACTTGAAAGACGAAGAGTTGTTGACTTTTAAGCCAACGCCATGGTCATCATTCTTTGGTTTTTTGGTTTTTGTAATGTTTGTGTCGACTGAATGCAAGGTTAAAAATTGTTGGCAAAAGCGAACTACCGATGAGGTGTCAACAATTTGAAATTAGCGCGGTATTAATTCTCGTTAAAAAAGACGAGCCAGTTGATTTAATATAGTAAAGTCGCGTTAAACCATGACTTTTGCAGTCGAGCGTTAGGGTTTAGAGATACATCCTACTGTACATGAACATACTTCCAGAAGTTGATGGGACTTTCCTCAAAATCAACTGCTGGACATCATCGTACACTCTTGCGACACTTGGCATTTAGTTCGTGCTTCATTCATTACAACAAACGTACACGAGACAAAAGAAACAACAAAAAGAATCAAGCAAGACCCTTGTCTATCTCTATCTTCTAGCACTATGATGTTCACAAATAAATCGTTGAAGTTCCGCACATGTCTCGTGGTACTTTCCATGATGAGCTTCCTTATTCAGACAGCCGTATCCGAAGACGATTTTGATTACGAGAAACAAAGGGAAGAATTGAAGAAAGCCCGAGATGCTGCCAAGCCATGGTTCCTTCGCAATCTTGAAATTGGTGGCACCAAAATTCCCATTTCTCCAGTGACAGGACTCATCTTCTCCGTCCTGTTTATCAACTTATTCAATATCATGTTTGCCAGTTTGTGGGCCGAAGCCGCGCACATTCTCATTGAAGATCCTTCCAGCAATACAAAAAAGATGTTGGAAGCCATGAAAAAGGACATTGATGACGACTACAAGAGATTTGGGGACTATGCGGCAAAGTACAGCCAGTGCCCCTCCAAAAAGGTAAAGGGAGACCTCGGTCGATTCAAGTCGGGGGACATGGCACCGCCTTTTGACAAATTGGTATTCAATCCAAAATCGCCATTAGAAACAACGTTGGGACCGGTCCAAACACAATTTGGATGGCATCTGATATTTATTCGGGCCAGAAGTAAACTATAGATTTTATAAATAATGTATCTTGTTTCTGGTGAAATCGACAAATCAGCATCGCTCCCTAGCGTTGGTTCAAACTTCTGCTTCCTAAATAGCCATGTATACTAGATATCTATCTCAATCTACGTATCTACATGAAATCGCTTCCGTCGTATTTCTCAAAGTCATCATCTCCCAACTCGCTGTTCTGGTCGTCCTTGTGGTTGACTACCGACAAGTCATCTTCAAAGTCCAAATCGTCGTACATGTAGCCATGTAGCAATTCTCCCATCATACGGAGGGCCAGCGTGACGAATAACACCGTCTGCCAACGCTTTCCAGGACGTGCTGATAGCAGGGCTGATAAGAGTCCCACCACAATGACAGGCTGGGGCAAGGAGCCCCGGACACTAGCCCATTGACTGACACGGCCAGCGACCAAAGCAACCGATTGTAGCACTGATTGAACCATTCGCAAGATCGAACCTTGATTGCTGCCAAAGAAGGGTAGATTGGACTTGGAGCGATACAAGCGGGCATTGCGACGGATAGTGTCATTGTCAGTGCCAAAGAGTACGGACAAGAGAGAATCTTCATTTTCCCAGATGGGGCGACTTTTGGTACGACGATTCCCGCGGCCAACTTCACCTCGGGCAAAGGAAACTGGATCGTGATCAGTCCCATTCTTTTTCCTGTTGTTCTCTTGCTTTTTTTCAAGTTCTGAGTCTTGATTGGCCCAACGATCGTAATATTTACCGTCCTCATGAATCCCAAGGAATTCGTCAAATTGTTCTTCCATGCGATCCCTCCAATGACCACTACGCTTGTGTCGCTTGGGACCACCAGTCTTGTTGTCTGTAGTTTGACGACCATTTGGTTCCTGCTTGCGGCGACGCGAACGATTTCGAATGGGACGATCTTCGTCCATTCGGCCCCACAAGAATGTATCGAATGCTCCAGCAACAAAATTTCCCATTCTGTCAACACCATCTGTGTACTCATCGCCCATATCTTCGTAGTCTTCGTAATCACCACGGCCTCGCCGTTTGTATTGGTTGTCGTACGGTGAGTATACTCTGCGACTGGGAGTACGTCCTGATGGTTCGTCTGATGATCCATTTGCTCCTATCGTTTCTTGTCCCGCGTTTGGTTCCTCAAACGATCTGTCGGCTGGTGGCAACTGAAATAGTCCATAGTAGTATTGCTGTTCCTCTTCTGGGTCTTCTTGGTCAACAACATTATTCATAACACTATCAGACTTTCGAGACCGACTTGGTCTAGCCCTTCTTCGTTTAGGAGGTTGCGGTGTTGTTTGTTGCCTGCGTCTCGTTCTCGGTCGGAATGGCGCACCCTCAATGGTAGTATCTCGTGCACTTTCAGATCGATTGGGTGTGACTGGAGGCTGCTGCTGGGTGCTCCTCCAAGATGCAGTTGAGGGCCACTCATCCATGGGAATCGGTTCAGCCTCCACGATTCGCTCCATTTTTTTGGCTTCAACCACTGCATCCATGACGATGGGATCCACTCTCTTGTCTTCCTCCTCGTCGTCTTCGAGCAGATTGGAAACCACTTTATAAGACATGTCTTTGGCCTTTTTTGCAGTTTTCTCGGCCTTGGCGACAATTCTCTGAGGGATTGCCTTCGCTTTCTTGGAAGCCACCTTGGATGTCTTCTCCAAGATGGATTTCCACGACGGATCCTTGCTCTGACGTTGTGTTGTAGTGGAATCATTGTTTTCTACAGGTGCAGTTTCCTGGCTTTCCTGGCTTTCGTTGGGACTGGTTCGTTTGTTCGAGATTTCTTTCCGCCGACGACTGGAGGGTGGTGGGGGAGTCCCGTCAGTTGCTTCCATTCCATCGGTGTGGTTTTCGATCGGCCTTCTCGGTTGCCTTGAAGCTCGTCTGTTGGTATCTTTCCGTCTGGAGGGCGATGGCTGAGTCCCATCGGTTGCTTTCATTCCATCGCTCGAGTTTTCGGTAGGGTTTTCGATTGACCTCCTTGGTGGTCTTGAAGTTCGCATGTTCGCATCTTTCCGTCTGGAGGGAGGTGGTTGAGTCTCATCGGTTGGTTCCATTCCATCAGTGAAGTTTTCAGCGGAGTTTTCAATCGGCCTTCTTGGCGGCCTTGAAGCTCGAATGTTGGTATCTCTCCTTATTCTATCGCTCTGCCTCTGAAATACTTCTTCTCTTGGATCGTCCTGAGGGCGCCTGGTTGCAAACTCGTCGACATTCTGTCGTTGTCGTGTTCGTTGCCTTGGAGGGCTGTCCGCATATGATCTCATTCGTTCTCGCGCGTATCGACTCATTGGTCTGCTATTACTGCGTGACGGTTGACTGGATACACTTCTCCGGCGCTGGCCGGGAGGAGTCTCGTGTTCTTCGTCGTCGTAATCGTCGTCATAGGTGTTTTCAACCAGACTCTGCCATGCTCTTTCAGTAGTTTTCTTGGCCACATTCGTTGCTTTCCCACCAATTCGAATCGCAGCATCTGCCAACTCGCTCGCTGTTGCACCGAGCGATGTTGAACCATTTCTTCGTTGTCGCCTTTGTCGTCTTTCTCTTGGAGATGAACCTCCTGGACCATCGTCATAGCCATAGTAAGTGTCGTTGGCATCGTCAACATGATTCTGTTGACTTTCATGACCAGAATCATCATAGTAGTTGTAGTAGTCACCATCCTCATCATCGATACTATTCGATCGAAAACATGCATCATTCTCTTGCTGTTGCATATCAAAATCAGAATCGTCTTCGTCTTCATCTACCATATTGAGTTGACGCAAGATCAACTCCTTCTGTTCTTCCAACGATAATTGGTCAACGATGGTACTATGTTGACCATCACCGTCGCTCCCAGTATCGTCGTTCTCGACAACGACATCAATTTCCTCACTTTCATCCAAATTTGATCTAATCTGAGACAGAAACGGAAGGGGTTTCCTCGATTGTTGCCGGGGAAGTGCCTTTGTCGTGGTGAAGGAAGGCAGAGTTTTCTGTCTCTGATTGCTGACTGTTAACGGTGATCTTAAAGGAACCTGAAATGCATCTACAGTAACTTTGAATGTAGCAGCTACTACAAGTGTCTTGGATGGAACCTTCATGTTCCAAGTGCTTGTTGTTTGGTCTAGTGGAAGCTTTATTGACACTTTCAGCTGCCAAAGGTTTCACTTGTCATGATTTTCCTTCAACGCGCAACGTGCGCACTCATCTCCTGTTCTTGCTTTCTCCAGTTTCGTTCCCGAACTGAAACCGATGATACCGTATCGTCTGCGCAACTCTTCACTACTACTGTACCGACCACACCTCTGATCGATTTGCATTGTAGTACATTGTAAGTAGCTACTATTCTTTCAATGTTTTTTCTAATATCCTAATGTTACAATCGAATCATTCTACTATAAATCCTCCTGCTCCGAGCCACCACCACAGAAGCACTACCAGACTGTAGGCACTAGAACTCTCCGATTCGACTATATATTTGTGTGCACCGGACTGGCTCCCTCGTCTTGTTCTTTTTTGGATCTGGCTTGAAGATAGCCGTCATGGTCAACTGTACTGTCATGTCATCTTCGGAAAGAGTCCATCTCAGCTGTATATCATAGTCGCCACCATCCACTCCTTGTTGATGAACTTCAAATCCATAACCGTCGACTGTGTATATAGGTATCGCCTTGCATGCAAATCTTCGATCTCGCAGCACATTTTCGACCGCTGGACCGTCTAGTATATAGGTAGCCCTTGGAACGCCTTTAAATTTCATGGTAATGACATTGCCTTCATGGGTGATATAGTGGATCGGTCGGGCTCGTGCCGCTGCCGATCGAATGGCCCAAGGAACACCCGTGGCTTCCAGGAATCCGGTCAAGTTGTAGTGCTCCTGGAGCTTGTAAACGCCTGTAAAGGACCAACCTTCCTCGTCGTCATCCTCTATAACGCCATCTCTCACTTTAGTCGGAGAGAGCGGTCCAGGTGTTGCTGGTGCTTGCCTTGATGTCCTCGAGGAGGAGGTAGGATTTGATACCAAGGCTTCCATTTGTCCCCGTTCGTAGTCATCATCGTCATCATTCACGACTCCATCCTTGACGATTTTTCGCCGTTTCCCTCCACGTTCATGTTCCATATCGTCGTCTTCCAGTTGCGATGCGGTAAGAACCAATCGTTTCCTCTTTTTCTGCCGCTTGAAGAGAAACATTGCGACTGCTGCGAGTCCAACACCACTGACGGCGACTCCAATCATCATACCAGCATTTGTGGTAGAAGTAGGCCCATCGGTAGCATTGTTCGATACAGATGATTCTGTGTCAGTCGGTATAGGCGCCTGTGGGTCTTTTGGATAGATTGTTGATTGATTTGGTGATGGGCCTCCTGGAATCATACCAACCAGCTGTGGAGATGGTGGCCCCAAACCGGCTGGAGCTTGGGACGGACGTGCTGATGGTGATTCAGATGGCATCGAGTGCAAACTCGCCAAATCATCATCTAAACTAACATCATCATCGTCACCCTTTGGTAATTTTGTGCTGTCACCATCACTATTTCCCTTGTTTGGTGGTTTGGAGCTGCTGTCGCCATTATCAAAACCATCGTCGTCCTCCTCGTTTTGTGTTTTGGAAGGCGACTGTGTTTCGATTTGAATCGAATCATTCTTGCCAGACTTCCCAGCTTTCCCAGCCTTTCCTGAACTGTGAATATGTGGATCGTCTTTGGGTGCTCGAATTGCATAATCCCAATCGTCATCGAGTTCCGTATCCAACGGGAGTGCCAATCGACGACCCCGTATCCTGCGTTTGGTCCTATCTTTGGTGGTTGTTGTTCGTGCTTCATGTATTTGGCTCGAGTGTTCTTCTTCTGCTGAGACGATCACTGCCACCACTGCCATCACCAATAGCAATAACAATTGTATCCTGGAAACCATCATGGTCATTCTAATTCATTAGTCGAGTCGATTGTTGTTGTCGTTATAGTACTACTAGAACAGAACAAGATGGACTGCTGCTCCGCCTTTGCTTGTTTGTTAGAAACTAAGAACAGTTGCTATCGTCAAAATTGGTGTCGTCAAATCTCGTTGACATGGAGTCACCTCATGGATGATCTCCTCGTTCCTCGAACAAACGTGGCCCCCAAGCATGTTCGTGGTGTACCTCTTCATCTAAACAGACATGGGGTGCACCAAACAAAATTATAAACTTGCCTCCGTGCGTGCGCCAAGCGAATCGTCTAATTCTCGCGCGTAATGGCCCGGCGTCTGTCGGTGAGCAGGAACGAAATTGCCCAAAAGTAAGACTCACCACCTCACTGTTCTCACGTCCAAATCCAAATCAGCTAAAAAAGCTCAAAACTGTACCGCGCGACCCTTTCGGTTGCGTTTCGATTCTCAATCAAGACCACTAATTCTGATGTGTTTCACATCTGATAAATCTGGATTTATCACCTGGTTCTTTTGCGGGAAAGAAAACGGAAGACTACCACGTGTACGGTGTTCACCCCACACCAGCTGGTGTGGTTGTCATGTCCAAATGTGTCTCGTTTTCGTTTTTCCACATCGTCTTTTTTATCCTGACTTCTTGTTTTTGACACCTGCGAGCTTGCAAGATGTCCAAGTAAGATTCCTGTGGGAATCCATATATATAAACAAGATAAGAGACAAGAATGAACATAAGTGTAAAATATGTTCTTTATTCTCGATGATAAAGCCTGCTTGCGCGGTCCCGAAACGTTCTTGTGTCCACGCAAAACGCCGTATAAAACTACTGTAATTGCAGTGAGAAGTAAGGCTCAACTGACTTTCGACATCGCGGCCAAGCAGGAACGCACTTATAGGAGTCTTTCTGCATTAAGTAAAAAATTATCGAAAAATTCTCCTCAACAAAACGCCCGTCCGGAAAGAGCTTCAAGAATTATCAAGACTTATGCCAAATATCACTTTGCCGCCTTTAGTTTCGACGCTTCCGTGCTTGCGATGAACACACGCTTTTGTGTTTTTTCTTGTCGTTTTTGAGAACTGACCCAAACACCCCCGTCCAACAGCTGAATCATCCTTTCACTCTTCCATCAGTTCATAAATTTCAATTTTACGAATACAAAACACAGTTCTTGACAAACAACAACAATACAATGGATTCCACCACCAATACCTCCCCTGCCATTAAGGCTGAAACTAATTCCACTGCCGCTGCTCCAGCTGCCGAACCAATTGCTGAATCTCGAAGCCAAGCACCTGCTTCTGGCTCCAACAAGAAAAGTCAAAAGACCAAGCGTTACTTGCCAGAGCACAAGAAGCCTGATGCTGCTTTGACATTCCCCGAAAAGGTAAGACTCTTGCTTGCAATCTAATTCATGCATGCATGCATCAGTCAGTCACATCTACTCCAACCATTACGACATGAATCTCACAATCTTGTTCGCGTTATCTTGATACTTTAGTTGATGGCCCTAATGAAGGAAGCGGATAAGCACGATCCCAAGACTTTCTGCATTGCCTGGCTTCCAGATGGAAAGACCTTCATCATCCGAGACCCCGAGGAATTCACCCGCAAGGTCCTTTCTCACTTTTTCAAGGCCACTAAGTTCAGCTCGTTCACTCGCAAACTGTACCGTTGGGGATTCCGCCAAGTAAACCGTGGCATTGGTCCTGATGATCCAATCATCTTTGGTAACGAAGCCTTCCAACGCGACAGAGAAGAGCTCATGGCCAACATGAGATCTGTCACTGCTGCTTCCACTCGCAAGCAAGAAAAGAGCAGTCTCGAGATTGCCCTTGCGCAACGAGCTCAATTGGAGGAAGTCAACCGTCAAAAGAACCGTGTTCTTATTGAACATCTTTTGCAACAAAAGGGATTGGCTAGCAACCCATTGCTCGGAGGCGGAGCCAACCCTGCTTCCATGGACTATGCCACTTTTGCTGCTTTGCAACAACCACAAGCCCAAGCCATGGGACCCCCTGGACTTGGCTTCTCGGTCTATGATATCCTCGATCAACGCATGCAACAACGCAATGCCTTGATGGGAAATTCTATTCCCCAGCAGCCACAAATGCTCAGTGCTCTAAACCAACAAAATTTCCAGAGACAGCCATCCACTGCTGATGTATTGAATGCTGCGATTTCAGCCTTGCGATACCCATAAGAATTCCATTTGCTCGCTTGCGCAATGGTGGAAGGGGATAGGGATACACACATTACATTCTATCTGTATTAGTAACTAACTAACTAAAATTACACATATATAAAACATTAATATTTTGTAACAACAACAAACTGATTACATTTCCATCACAACATCAAACTAGAAAAGTTACTTTAAGTTCGCTGTTTTCATTGATAACCCCTCTCCGTTTGGTTGATCAAATTTTTCCCGTGAACGTTTACTCACCGGCCGTTTGATACTTGTGGAAAACACGACTACCGAAATACGAATGGCATGATAATTCGCGAGGGCGTTCTGATCTATCACTTCAGAGCGACTTTTACATCAATTGCTATTTCTTTGTCGAACTGGTAGAGACAGGCGTTAATACCCTAAGAAGTTCCTCACGGGAACCTTTCCGCCGGCATACACCTGCTGGTGCCGGAGATAAAAATACCTGGCAAAAGAGCAAAACACTCCTGCTGGCAAAGACCCTTTTTATTCTAACGTTGGGAAACGGAATCTTGGGAAAGAAAGAGAAGAGAGATCTTTTTGTTCCGCCATTTCCACAAGGTAAAATAGAGTCAATGCATCATTCGACTTAAACCATCTGCTGCCTTGGAGAGCCTCAGCAGACGCCAAAGAGAAGCAATTATACTAGAATAGAGTTGTATCTATTGGATATTGATGAAGCTCCAGTTAGTACCTTTAGACTTTTTTAAAATATGCTATTGTAAACCTATCAACTAGGACTATCTATACCTACAGAACAATGTTGATTCCAAGACGAGTACTTCCAGTAAATATATTTCATGTAGGTACAGGGTACAGGTACCTGGTACATGCCATGCACACCATATATATTATCAGTTGGTGTTGTTTACCACACTGGTACCAGGTACACGTACAGTGCCTACCACCGAATGCAGTTTTCCATCTTCAACATCAGCATGGTCTCTGGTACTTATCTTCAACGTCAGCATGGTCTCTGGTACTTTGTCTACCGTAGTTCTGTGCTACAAATGACAAATTTCAAAATGTGCTCTTTCCACGCACTTTGTCAGTTCAATTTTTGTTCTCACTGACGTGTTTTGAGCATAATGCATGCCCGTTACCGGTACAGTACCTCCTGGTTCGCTTCGCTTGGAAACATTGGCATTGATTGATCACATCGATTACAGATTCTTGGTTCGTTCTGATGAGTCGTTTTCGTCTTGCTTCGTTCGGCGCGCGGCAAGTAAGTACGTGTACGCACAGACTCGCAGTTTTCTTTCTCTTCTGCTTTCCACCAAAACCAGTTGAATTCTGTCGGTTGCAACAATAATTCTTTGCGCGGACATCAAAGGAGTATCGTATCTACTGTGTTGTATCGCAAGAGAGGATCATATCTCTACTTTTCGAGGACTTTTTGAGGAAGTACATTACATACAGGTTGCTTCTCTAAAGATAGTGAAATTCAGAAGAATTCAAGTGACGTTCAGGGAAAATTTTTCTGGAATTCGAAAAAACATTGCACTCTACCCAACAACCCATAAAATGAATCAGAAGTATGAAACATCTCGATTCCCATTCTTTTTTCTTATCGCGATAATTTCGTTGACATCAGTGTCGGCGTTCTATCCATTTTCACCTTCAGTGTCATCGAAAGTCTTGAATCATCGCTCATCTGAGCCATCATATGAGGGTACTTGGCAACGACGAAATACAAACTTGATTTCATTATCGTCTACACAAGAGGCTATCTCACCTACAAGCACACAAGCAAAGGACGATCTATCACGTGGGGATGCACGAGGAGCAGCACTGCTCCTAGAAGATATTTCTGTCTCTCGTGGCAACTCCCAAATTCTGTCAAATATCAATTGGCGGATTGAACCCAAAAGCAAGTTTGCGTTGGTTGGTACCAATGGAGCTGGAAAGGTGAGTTACAGATTTCCATGACAGACATGTGTACGTTTAAATTTTTCTCTCATAATGAGCTTGCTTTCTTTAATTAGAGTACTTTGCTCAAAGCCATCATGGAAGAGCTCCCATATGAGGGAAAAGTAACGATTGGAACAAAGCAAAAGGTAGGGTACCTTCAGCAAACAGCAGTAGCGGGATCGACCAAGACCATCTTTGATGAAGCCGCATCGGCCATGACAGAAGTAGCTGCTGCAAAGGCTGTCCTTGAACGAGCGGAGGAAAGAGTGGCGTCCTCAACGATTCCGACGGACGAGGATATGGATGCCTTAGTCCTAGCGACAGAAAACTTCGAGATGGTGGGTGGATATAGACAGGAACAAGAGGTTGGTAGTATGCTGAAAGGATTGGGTTTTACCGATTTGGAACAAACCTGTGACCAACTTAGTGGTGGCTGGCAAATGCGAGTTTCCTTTGCCAAAACGCTTCTCTCCAAACCGAGTCTATGTTTGATGGACGAACCTGGAAATCACTTGGATCGATCCGCTCGAAAATGGCTGGCCCAATACCTCAAGAGTTATGATGGAGGAGCCATGATTTTGGTGACGCATGATGTCGAACTCTTGGAAGCCATGGATCATATCGCTGAGATCTCGGCAAAATCTTTGCAAACTTACAAATCATGTACCTACTCACAATACTTGGAATTGAAAGAGGAGCGCGCACTGGCAGCCCAAAGCGAATATGAACGAAATTTGGAAAAGGCCAACAAACTGCAGGATTTTGTCGACAAATGGGGAGCCTCTGCCACCAAAGCTACGGCCGCCCAATCGAGGGTCAAGCAGTTGGAAAAAATGAAGGCTCGTGGAGAATTGGACGCACCTCCGGAGGCCGTCTTGCAAGAAAATTTCAAGCCACGCCTCAAGCTGCCCAATCCTCCCAAGGCCATGGGCGACATCTTGCTAGCCTTGAGAAATGCCAAGGTCGGCCACGGAGCTAATCCACTAATTACCGACGTCAATTTTGAAATCCAACGAGGAATGAAGATTTTGATTCGTGGTGAAAATGGAAGCGGAAAGTCAACGCTACTGCACACTTTGCGAGGAACTCTCCCTTTGATGGATGGAGAACGGGAGACTAATGAATCTTTGCGAATGGGAGTCTTCACCCAAGATTTGGCCCAAGAGTTGGATGTCAAAGCACGTGCAGTCGATTTGGTGACTGCCTATGCGAGAGAAGGTTCCTTTGGAGACATCAATATTTCGGACAAGGATGCCCGGACAGTCATGGGTGGCTTAGGTCTCACAGGAGACAAGTCATTGCGTAAGATTGAAGCATTAAGTGGAGGCGAGAAGGCCCGTGTTGCTTTGGCCATGTTCGCGCTCAAGCCAGTAAGTACCTATTCTTGAATCAGTATGATGGTTGGTGGATTATTTCTCACCTTGCAAATTCGATACTTCTGATGAAAGAGCAACCTTTACCTTCTGGACGAGGTATCAAATCACTTGGATATTGAATGGTACGTCAACTCCCTTCATTACAATGTCAAATTTGATTTGACCCGTTGACTAACGATTTGTTCTTGATAGTGTGGAAGCACTCAGTGAGTCTCTGTCTGAATGGGGAGAAGAAGAAGGAGCTGTGGTTGTAATTTCCCACGACAAGTCGTTTTGTGATAAAGTTGGCTTTACACACGTAGCGACTGTTGAGGATGGGGGTTTGGTACTCGAACAACGAAGCACGAATGCGGCCGACTGGGACAGTTCGGTAGCCACCTTCCAGCGTTCATCGGATGGCGAAGCAGCTGATTCCAGCGGCGAAACTACTGAAGCCAAAGAAATCGATCCCAAGTTGCGAAAACAAGCCTACAATGCTCCCAAAAGAATAGCTAAGATCGAGACTATCGTTGAACAAAAGGAAGAGAAGGTTGCTGAATTGGAGAGCAAAATGATGGAGTGTGGAAACGATGTTGGAAAACTTGTTGATCTGACCAAAGAGAAACAAAAATTAGAAGAACAAGTGGCGGAACTGATGGAGGAATGGGAGCAACTGGAAGAATTGCTTCTTCAAATACAATAGAAAGTTAATTGTAACTGTCCTAACAGCTGAGGAGGATGAAGTGCAGTTTTTGGTTGAGTCAGTTTTTATAATTGAAGGCTGGGCTCATTTTAAAGCTTAATGGGGTTGTGGAACATGACCATCAACGCTGTAGCAAACGATTGAAAGTGCAGTGGTTAGTCTATAGGTTGGATTGGAAGACCACGTCCAAGCAAGCAAAGATAAACTTACTAGAAATTTCGCGTTGCCTTTGGCATTTCCACCATGATACCATCCATCTCTTCCGAGATCAGCACCTGACACCCTAACCGACTTGACTCAGTCAAACCAAACGCCATGTCCAGCATATCTTCCTCGTCCTCCTCTGGATATTCGAGAGCATCATAGACGTCCATTGGGAAGATAAGGTGGCAAGTACTGCACGCACAGACCCCCTCACAGGCACCCTCCAAATCAATATCATTACGGTGGGCCACTTGAAGAAAGCTTTCCCCAATTCTAGCAGCAACTTCTTTCTTTGTTTCATCGGGCTGCAGGAATGTAACGGTGATGGTGGGAGCATCTGCTGCAACATGTGGTCCACCGTGCCATCGTTTGGCAATCGCTGCCGCTGACGGTGATGAGGAGCTTTTCTGGTGCAGTCTGGGAGCGATTCTACTTGCTGTTTGTCTTAGTCGGTTGGAAAACATGATAATGGTTTTGAAGTTGAAGGACTAACTCTTCGTGGATGAAGAATGAAGATGGGAGGTGAGAATTTCGCTGATGATGTCATCATTGGGGTCGAGTTGGTCAAACAATAGATTTTGATTTTTGATTGATTTACCACTACCAGTACCAAGAGTTTGAGGATACTCGTACTATTGTAACCATTATTTACATTTCCCAATGACATCTTGTTATTGAGTTGACTGCTCTTGATCGTGCTCTGGTTCTGATCCATCGCTCTTCGTTTGGACGTCATCTTCTTCTTGTTGAGTTGGGGTCTCCATTATAATGGCTTCCTCGCCTTGTGCCTTGATCACCTTCCTCCACAAGAGCAGATAAATGAGTACCGTGAGTGTTGCAAAGAAACCAATCAGTGCAACAGAAAAGAAATCGAACAGATCCGTTCCTCCCGCAACAAGCGGCAGACCTGCCCCGACCACAAACACGAGCGCCAAAAAGACAGAGACAACTAATCCCATGAATCCAGCAAACCCACAAGACTCATAGATCTCAGAACACAATATCAGTCCCAAAACAGGAACATATATGACAGCTGCAAGAGCAATCAGAACGACGTTTATGGTCGTGACGAGTGTCTCGTCGCAAGTGCCAGCAGTTTGGCCTGCCTTCTGGAAGATGTCTGGTCCACAAAGTTGCTGCTGAAAGACTTCTTCCTGTTTGCCATTAATGTCACTGATCGAGTATGCCATGATCGTAAGGCAGGGATTGCTGTCCCCGTTAGAGTATTCAATAACACTGTATTGGTGATTGCGTTCAAACTTTTTGGCAAAGCAGCCTTGACTGAATGGCCCACCCTTGAAAGATCCTAGCCGATCGAGTGGTCCAGTTTGCAATATCGGAAAGGAGTATGCATCGTCTCTGGGATCGCCTTTGTACGTATTTGATCCATCGTCAAATGCCAGCATATGCGAATCTCCAGCCATGACAAGAACATTACGCTTCGGCAGTTGCTCAGAGGATAGAAACATTGAAATTCGTCGGCGCTGTGCCCTATATCCCCACCATGCATCTGAAGGATCAAAAGGATCCACTTTACCGATCCACGGGACACTGCTGGCCCAAATAACAAAGTCATATTTGTCAGATTGAGCAAACTCGTTCAGCAGCCATGCTTCTTGAACCGGAGACATAATTTGATCGAATTCACCAGCCTCGCTCCTTAAATCTGTGAGGATGAAACGAACTTTGCCAATGGTGAAGGCTTGATGCATCGATACCGTCTCGTTCACTAGCGGATAGTGCGGGATTGATATCCGAAATTGGTCCAATGCTGCTTGCAAATCGTCGTCATTTGCATCCAGACCTCCCATATTGTTTCCCAGAAAGTCATGGTCATCCCACATGTAGGCGATGGGTACATTTGCAAAGAATTGCTTTTGATTTGTAGCGCCCAGTGATAGGTCCATAGCTTCAACCCGTTCTTGGACGGACGGTGTACTCAAATCCTCATAATGAAAGTCACCCAAGTAAATCATGAATAAGAGTGGGGATAGTTTGTCGCCCTTTTGATCCAGCATATTGGCAAAGACGTCATGCGTGGTTCCAGTGTAGGCGCAGGAAGATGCCAAGAAACGAAAGCTAGCGGTTGAATTCTCTGCAGGTGCCGTCCGAAAGCTCCCTTCTTCCAGCACTACTCTCCCAGCCAGTTGAAATCTGTAATCCGTACTTTCTGACAAGCCATCCAAATCAACAGAGTGAACCAGCAATTCGTCCTGGCTCTTCAATTCTGTCTCGTAGATTGGAGTCGTACTACTGAGAGGAAAGACTTTAAGATCCAATGTATCCTCTCCCAACAAGACTGCTGCATGACGAATCCGAAAGGAAATCGAGGAAGCCGTCAGATTTCCCATCATTACCCAATGACTCGCCTTGTCTTGGTTGAAGAATCGAGCATACAAGAGATAGGACGTCAATGCGGATATGCCAACCCATAACAGCAAGATTGCCAGGAGTATCCGAGTTCCAAAGAGCTGCTGATGATTCATGGCATCTGAACTTGCAAAATACTTCTAGCAGGGACTATCAAGAGTTGGGACTATACCGGTAGAGGAAAACGAAAGAAATGACGCCCAGCAAGTTCTCGATTTACTTCCGTTTTGTGTCTAACGGTATTACCGCACGATCAATCAATCGTTGCAAAACGTTGGTCGAAGTAGTCGCAAACTGGTGTTTCGATAATTTGAAATTGCAAACACAGTAGTTGTTTTTCTATGCAATGTATTGGTACTATTATCGTAGCCCACCTTGTTGCGAGCGATAATCTTGCCCACTTCGTCCCATCTATCACGGATCTCGTGATCACCGGTCAGATCAGACACAACAAAGAAAATCATCAAAATGGATTGGTTACTATTATTATTAATACATTCAGCCGTACTACTGTAAGGTCGGTGCCTTCTCATGTCCTTTGGACGCTTCCATAGCCTCCAGTTGCAGCAGGGGATTTGTTGATAAAAGGAACAGTATCAGCTCCCCTACCACGCCTTCCTATCGCTGCCGGAGGGTTGGCATCCGGAGCTGCAGCTCCGCTGTCTGGCGAACGATTGGAGTTCGGTCGCATCATTATCAAAAACAAAACGGAGGGAATCAATTCTAGGAAGCCATAATTCCACCACCATAAGATTTGATGCGGCGGCGCTACCACCTTACGGGCAAAGCCAAAGGTGGAAAAACCAAAGACAAAAAGGCACAGGACGCTGCAAAATGCCAGCCGAATGGCCAATCCTGAATGTTGAGAGAGACTCGGTCGAAGTAAAGTCAAAAGCTTCGGACAAAAGTACATGGTCGTTCCAAAAAGTGCAGAGTACATGCAGCAAAACAACGCATACATCAAAACAGCGGCAATGACATTGAAAAAGAAAGTGACCACCAGCGATACGTAGACCACACAAGCTGTCAGTTGAATCGCAACAATTCCAGGGGAGGCAGAGGTTGCCGTTCCCTGAGCCACTCCTACCAGTTGGACAAAGAAGCTAACCAGCAACGTCCAGGCCGAGGCAAAGGCCATTTGAGGTAAGGTGTCTGCAATAAATTGAACCCAAAGAGGGTCCCGCCAGATGTGAATGGGCATCATAACTGCACGCGTAACTAACGCTAGCAGCAGGAGCCGCCGAAACTGTAATGTACAAACCAAAAAAAGGAAAGGTTGTGAGAAATGGTTGAATCGACCCATTGCATTCAGCAGCTATTCGATTGTAGCATAACTAAAAGCACACGGTTCTTTGAACGATTTCGTCATTTTCTGCTCTTGCAATGTCATTTTTGCAACAACGCGACGATCATCTGCTTACCCGACTTCTTGAGACATCAGCGCTACTGATCGCTTGTTCATCGCCTGACGGATTGCCTTGTTCAATATCTTGTCGTCTTGTATGCAACCACTCATTCTCAATGTGCACTTGTATTGATGCCGCCAAAATGGCCAACAAGAATCCACCCCATAAAATTGACCATGACACCAGATAGTAGTGTTCTGGAGTGACACGGATAGTGACACTTGTCGTCATACTCGAGCTTTCACTTTCATGTGGATAGTAGCGACTGGAACGCAAGGAGTCCCAATCAAAGCTTGTTTCCTCCTCTTCTAGAGACCTACTGTAACTCATAATTCCAAATCCAGAGGGCCAGATGAGTCTCTCAGGAAAATTCTGCAAATTGTTTGGTGATTTCCCTGAATGTTTCCTCCTTCCCAAACAAATATTGACTTCAAAAGCCGAGCGAGAGAGAATCTACAGTGTGAATTGATTCCAAAATATCAAGGCAGTGATTATCTGTCAGCTCACAAGCAGGCAATTGATTGGTTTTGGGGTGATGGGAAGTCAGAAGGCCCCTCCGGCATCACAAATTGCTTGGAAGATTCCTTTTTTCGTTCCGCTTTTGATTTTGTGAGGCTAGCAGACGGTCGTGGGAGCAGACAGACGTTGGTCATTGGCTGCAATTGTACCGATACCGGTACCGGTACTGGTATGAGGTAGGGAGTGAGAGCACAAGCTCGAATGGTCTCGAGGTCAGAAGTAAAAAGTAAAATAGATAGTTAACATGCAAGAGTGCTAATTCCGATTATATCCAATTACATTGAGATTGCCTGTTCGATGCATTGTTGCCATTACTTTCCATGCATCCATTGTCATTACTTTTGTGCGATACAGACCAAATATGAAGAAATGAATGGAAGAACACTTTCAATGATTACATCTGACATGCATAGTGTCCGGCATAGTACTCGATTCACCCTGCCGTCAATCTCGGTCGTTGATGATTCATTTGTGGCATGCTCCAGCAATAGTCTCGCTCTCTTTTGGGGACGATCTGGCAATACACCCGTATCGTTCTTCTCCTCCACAATAGTCTTGGACACTTCCACTAGTTTTGCCTTCCAAATCCCCAGTTCCAAACTCAGAAGTCCTTCTTTGGTGTAATTCTTGAAGAGTGCTTTCAAATAATTATGTACCTTGGGACATCTTTGAGGAACGTCGTCGCTAGGATCCAAGGATTCGAGAGCAGACTCAATTTCAACCTTCCACCGTTCCAAACCCAAACAGTTGTAGTGCGATGCATACAGCTTGCGGGACAAATGTTTGATGATTGGCACAATATTAGGAGCGAAGTTGATCATAGCATATACCATTGGACATGAACCAGTTATATCTTGACATCGCAAAGCATCTAGATCGGAGGAGAACACCTTGCAGAGTTCAAAACTTGGTTTCGCCGACAATACAAGCAGATGTAATGGGTTCATTTCAAAGCAATCGAAAGGAATTTCATCATTTGGACAGGCGGCCTGAATCAAAGTATGCAACGCCCTTGTCACTGCTGAAAGACTTTGATAGGATTGGTAGTAACACAGGTGGTGAAAAGGCAAGCCGTCAAATCGATGTTTCAAGGCATCTATAAATCGCATTGAATCTTCTGGAAGGTAATTTTTCAGCTCTGTACATTCGTCAAAGGCACCGGCTCCAACCTCGGAGACAGTGGAAGGAAGAGCAATGTTCACTAGATCTGAACACTCCAAGAAGGCCCGCCCTTCAATTCTCACGACACCAACGGGAATTTCAATGGACACCATTTGTCGACAGCCCCAAAACGCATGTTGCCCAATAACAGTGGTTTGAGATGGCACTCGAAAGGAGCGAAAGGAAATGCAGAAGGCAAAACAACTTGGTGGGATTTCTTGCACCGTGTCTGGCAGTTGGACTTCCATTAAACAAGCGTTGCAACCAAAGGCTCCTGCCCCAAGGCTCAGGACGGACGGTGATACCTTCATATACTTCAGTGCCATGCATTGTGAAAAAGCAGTGGTCGCGATCGTTACGACACCCTGAGCAATCTCGACAGACGTCACCTTCTTGTGCTCGCGAAAGGCTTCAGATGGAATGTTTGGAGTCGTAATCTTGACATGAGTGACATTGGATGGAACTACCATGCCTTCGGTACTGTATTCGAAGACGGCGACTTCATTCAAATGTAGAGGAACAGCAGGAGGGGGGCTTGGGGTGTCGTTTTCACTCATCTTCATTGACAGTATCCTCACAGAATAATGTGTTTCGCTTGCGTATGCACCGGTGGTAGGATACGCCTTTCAAAGTGATGGGAGTCGTCGTCACTCAATCGCCCGCCACAATTCTGAGGTGGTTGACCAGTTGGACTGGATGGAAGAAGTACAGTTTTCGGCAGCGACTCCCGTACTCTACTGTACTACAGTAAAAGGCCAGTTCTTCTTTTGATACATTAGATATACACTCCATTAACTCTCTCTATTGTCTATTATTCCCAGAAGCACACAGATTCCCGCTGCAGTAGCTGAAGCTGCAGAATTGGAGCTCCTCCTTGCTGTACACATCGCCCGTATACTCGACACCACTGGTTGTCACATCTGGAGGCCAGGCCAACCAGCATTCTGCGCCATTATAGCACTTGCACTTTGGGTCTTGAAAGTTAAGATATTGAGCGGAATCATATTCCTTGCAAAAGTCGAGACATTCCTCTTTATTCTTCACATCGTTGCTCGCTGCCATTTCCTCCATATTATTGCCGAACAAAGAGTAGGTGCTGTAGGACTTGGTACTTCCAGTAAAACAGAGTCCATCATTTCCAACGGCGTCACAGTAGTCTAGTTCACACTCTTGCAAGCCTCTCTTAGTGTAGACTGTCCCAAAAAAGTCATCTGAATCAATTTCATTTCCCCATCGTAGTAAACATTGGACAGAGTTATAGCATGAACAATCGGCAAAGTTCTCAAAGGCTGCCGCATCGTAAGGGGCGCACAAGTCCAAGCAGGCTTGCAAACTTCCCGGTGTTTGACCGGATGCCATTTCCACCATGGACTCACCATACAATGAATAGAATCGATAGTCCTCTTCATTGCCAGTAAAGCATAGTGAATCTGGATTGTTGACGTCGCAGTAGTCAAACTCGCAAAAATCGAGAGGTGTTTTGCTGTAAACGTTGCCAAAGAAGAGTGATGTATCTACGTTCTCGCCCCACTCCAACCAACAGGTAGGATTTTCATAGCAGGTGCAAACGTCCGGTCGTCGAAAACTGGCTGCATCGTATGGTGCACATAACTCGAGGCACTCTTCCTCGCTTGAAACCAAAGTAGAATTTAGCTCGGTTAGAGCCGTGCCAACGACACTGTACTCCTTGGAGTCTTGTACATTGCCCTTGAAACAGCGAGCGTCTTGATAGATTTCGCAATAGGTTTCCAAACAAACGTCCAACGGTTTCTTGCTATATACCATTCCCAACAGCAACGGAGTGTCAAAGGAATCACCCCATTCCAACCAACACTCGGCTTGATCGTAACAAGTGCAATCTTTCCAATTCAAGAAACTGGCGGTGTCGTATGGTGAACAGAGATCCAAGCATTCCTCCAGTGTCTCCACCCTTTGGGATTCTCGTTCAACAATGTTTACCCCGTGAAGCGAATATTCTGTGTAGTCTTGATAATTGGCTGTGAAGCAAAGTCCGTCTTTGTCCTGCAATGCTTGGCAGTAGTCTTCCGAACATTCCTCGAGTTCATTCTTGGTGTACAAGTCTCCTACAAACTGATAGTTAGTAGTGTCGACTTTGGGTCCCCATGGCATGAGGCAGGAGACAGAGTTGTAGCAGGCGCACATATCTTGGACTTGGAGATACTGCATGGCGTCATACTCTTTGCAAAATTCTAGACAGGCTGACACGTCAATGGCCTCCATGGTGGCTGCCAGTTCCTCACCACCAAACAGGAAATAGTCCTTGGAATCCAGCAATTTGATCGCACCAACAGCATCGTGGTCCTGCTTGTCGCCGCCAGTAGAGTCCGCTGTGGATGCAGCTGGCTCGTCATCCTTGTTTGCAGCAGCAATTCCAAAGCCAACCCCCAAACCAACACCAACAATAAGCCATGCGAATGCTACCAAACCTATCGTGGAACATTTTACTCCGGTGCTCTGGGACGAAAGGTCCGAGCTGTCATCACTTTCCTCGGGCTTGGGTTCTGGGGATGGTACCTCTGCTTGTACTTGCTCGGATGTCTCGCCTGGTGATAATCCTTCAGAGTAGTGCTGTCCAGAATCCTTTGATGATGATGATGGTCGTGATCGTTGTTCTGAAGGGTGATAGATTCTCAAGTCTTCAGGCATTGGCCACGGCGATTGTGAGTCGTCATGACTTCTCCAATCCCGAGAGAAAGAATTGGACATATGGTTTCTCGAATCATCATCTGATCCGCTAGTTGAATCAATATCCGGATATGATTCAATTGGTTCCTCAATATTATTCTCTGCAGTAGTTATCATTGCATGTTGTTGACTTTGCGATTGTAAGTCTGACGGCCTTTGTGATTCTTCATTTCTTTCTCTAATCATTTGAATGGTTGCTTCGTCCATTTCTATGTCTCCTTCTTTATAAAGTTCTTCCAGAAATTTTGCGACTTCATCATCGGCTGCGGTTTCTTTGGCCATGATGATGGGTGTAGATCACGAGTAAGAATAAGTGTTCTTCTGTAGCAACTCTTTGTAAAAAGGGGATGCTAGGACTGTCCTGTGTTGTTCGTGGCTAAAGCTCGATTTTACTAACGAGAAAGCAAGATAACCGAATGCAATGCTCCGGATGGAAGCACTTTCCACCTCTCGTGTCTGCAAGGTGAATGCCACATACTCGTCATCATAAATGCTCATCGAGTGTGTCACGACCCACACGTCCAAGTTACTAATCAGTGCAATCCAACCTGCTTCCAGAATACATGTGGTGGGACCGATGACCATGCGGGCTTGCACGAATGAATCAATCCATCCGTGTTTGAAATGAGAAGTTCAAACAACGGCTTCTGGGCACTAAAAGGCAAGATTCTTCTTGATTCATCAGATATATGCAAGACATTATTTCTATTGTGTATTATTCCCAACTGCAACTGTACTATTCCCAACAGGAGTACCAGTACCGGTACATAATTCCCCGTCTGGAAACTGATCGCAGTAGTCAAAGCCACAGAATTGGAGTTCCTTATCGCTATACACATCGCCTGTATATTCGACAGTACTGGTTGTCACATCTGGGGGCCAGGCCAACCAGCATTCTGCGCCATTGTAACACTTGCACTTTGGGTCTTGAAAGTTGAGAAACTGAGCGGAATCGTATTCCTTGCAAAATACGTGGCATTCCTCTTCGTTGTTCACATCGTTGCTCGCTGCCGTTTCCTCCAAATTATTGCCGAACAAAGAATAGCTGCTGTAGGACTGGGTATTTCCCGTAAAGCATAGTCCATCGTTTCCAACTGTAGCACAGTAGTCTTCGTCACACTCTTGTAAACTTCGTTTCGTGTAGATTGTCCCAATGAAGTTCTCGGAATCAATTTCATCGCCCCATCTTAGTTTACATTGGACATTGTTATAACATGAACAATCGGTAAAGTTTCCAAAGGCTGCCGCATCGTAAGGAGCGCACAAATCCAAGCAGTCTTCCAGGCTTCCCGGTGTTTGACCCGCTGCCATTTGATACAAGGACGGTCCATACAATGCATAAAGCCGACAGTCTTCTTCATTGCCTGTAAAGCAGAGTCCATCTTCAGTATAGACGTCGCAGTAGTCAAACTCGCAAAAATCGAGAGGAGTTTTGCTATAGACGTTGCCAGAAAAGAGTGTGGTATCCACGTTCTCTCCCCACTCCAACCAACAGGTAGGATTATCAAAGCAGGTACAAACGTCCGGTCGTTGAAAGCTGAAGGCATCGAAGGGTGCACAGAACTCAAAACACTCTTGCTCACTTGAAACCACAGTAGAATTGTACTTAATTAGAGCCGTTCCGTAGACAGTATACTCCTTGTAGTCTTTCACATTGGCCGGGGGAGCAACGCCCTGCGTTGAAGGCCCTTTGTTTGCAGCGGCAACTCCGAAACCAATCCCCAGGCCAGCGCCTATTAGGAGACAGAGGACTACTGCGCAAACTGCGAAGGTGCACCTTCCATTTCCGCCATCAGACTCAGACGAATGGTATGAGTCGTCATCAGCTAGCTCGGGCTTGGAATTTAGCGATGGTGATGATGCTTGCTCTTGGTCCACCGTTGATAGTTCTTGGGAGTAGTGACTCCGAGAATCCCCTGGTGAACGTGATCGTGATCGATCTGATGAGTAGTAACTTCGAGAATCTCCAGGTGATGGCGATCGGGATCGCCCTGATGAGCGATACCTTCGTGAACCTCCAGGCAAAACCGACCGTTCGGAGGACCTCCTGCTTCTCGAATGTGATCGGCTACCTGAATATGATCTGCTACCTGAACGTGAACGTGATCCGCTACCTGAACGTGAACGTGATCCGCTACCTGAACGTGATCTGCTGCCTGAGCGCGATCTGCTACCTGAACGTGACCTGGAACCTGAGTATGATCGACTGTCTGAACGTGATCTGGAACCTGAATATGATCGGCTGTTTGAACGTGATCCCCTACCTGAATATGATCGGCTACCTGAATATGATCGGCTACCTGAATGTGATCCTCTACGTGAATAGGATCTGCTACCCGAATAACTTCTCGAACCCCCAGGTGATTTTGAGGGTGATTGCGAGTAATAGCTTCTCGAGCCCCCAGGTGATTGGGACCGCGATGTTGAGTGAGGACTTCTCGAATCCCGGGAATAAGACTTGGACCTTTCACTTCTCGAATCTGATCCGCTAGTTGAATCAATATCCGGAGAAGAATCAATTCTTTCCACGATACTATTCTCTGCAATAGTTTTCATCCCGCGTTGTTGACTTTCAAATCCATAGTCCGAAGGCCTTTTTGATTCTTCATTTCTTTCTTTATGGGCTTGACGGTTGATTCGTTGCATCATCTGCATCGTGGCTTCGTCCATTTCTTTGCCCGCTTCTTGATAGATTTCTTGCAGCATTTTTGCGACATCGTCTTCGTTTACGCCTCCTTCGGCCATGGTGAGTTACTGTTTGCTTGAGTCGATGGGAGTGGATCAAACGTATCAATAGGTGTTCTTTTGTTGGGATTGTGTTGTGCTTTGGCAAATGAAACTTGAATTCACAGGAGAGAGCAAGATAAGCTCCGAATGGCACGTTTTGCACCTGGCTATTGAGTAAAGATAATAAATTGCTACATAATCATTAATGCTTGTCGCGAATGTCACGACCCACACATCCGAGTTGCATATAAACATGAGAAGCAGTCCAAAGCTGCTTCCGAATGATGATACGCAACCAATGATTCTCATGTGGTGGAATCGAGCCGTTTGATGTTTGAAATTAAAGATGAATTTGGTTTCCGAGCTTCAACACAAACTTCGCGCCATTCAACTTCTTTCCAAGTGGAGCAATCAGCTCCTACGCAGATAATCTATCCACTTGATCCACTATAAATATAATGAAACCGAAACAAGAACGAAGTGTGCTTGGAATCAAAGTGCTGGAACTACATCGGTACAACAAGGAGGATGGTTGGGTCATGCCAGGTGTTCTGCTTCCTGATTTTAATACCGTTTCTCAACCATATCGTGATTCTCCTACTCCTGGGTGCAATGATGATGCAAAGGAAAACAGTGAGAATTGCGTTCCAATATCTGCTCAACTAAACTTGAAACCAGCGGCAAAAGTTGGAAATCGAGCTGGTTTGGGGGATGCTGTCTCGAAACCAAATTCTACTCGCATCAATACAAACAAAAAGAAAATTGTCATCACACCGTTTACCGACGACAACAATGATTGTTCCACCTACGGCAGTTTCCAAGAAATCTCAGTTTACGATCCACCAAAGGACTTGTGTGTTAGCTGGTGTGATGATTTTCAAATCACAAGCTATGCTTGTCTACCTTTACCCTCGGCAAAAGCTGTGACATCTCAGGCCCAAGAGGTACGACAACTTGCCATGCATTTGATTCAGTTCCGGGCTTTCATCTCTCACTGTCATTCCATTATTGTACTTTGAAGATTTCCCATTGGGTGTCGGCAGTCAATCAAAATTTTGCTCAAGTAGTTCTGAAAGACATTGGCTTGGTTGATCTCAACCAAACCAACCTAACTCTCGACACATCTCCTTTTGCCATTGCGTGCCTCCAAGGCGACGTGGCTACGGTTCAAAGAGCCATTGGGCTAGTCTGTGCCAACTTGAAGCCTCCATACTCAAGACAGAATAGGCTTCGACTGCTTTTGGAAGCCCACGAATCAGGATCGTGGAGTCCTCTGCTTCTTATTGCCTGTGCTATGGTTGAGGACAAGAATATGGCGCACAATCCATCCCTTCTCACCGTCGCGGCACTTCTGCTTCAAGCTGGAGCGCGTCCAGATGCCCAAGATGCCCTGGGCAAGTCCATTGTACACTATGCAGCTGGATGCGATGCCACACCAATGTCGATGCGCTTTGTCGACATGTGTATTTCTGCTGCCAAATCAGTCAACCTGTATGGAAAGGAAGTGGTATTGAATGACTTGACTACGACGCACTTGAATGGTAAGAAAGGGATTGTAGGCGGGTACGACTATCTGACGAGCCAACGAAGTGTATTTGTTCCAAGTTTTGGCAAGGAAGTTTGGGTTCCGGCTGAAAACATTCGACTTGCGAATGGCAAGGGGCAAGACAAGAGGCAGCTCCTGGTTGATTTGCAGGATCACAATGGCAACACAGTCCTACATGAAATTTTGAAAAGCAATCGTGAGGAGATTGCACATTCTCTTTTGCACCGATATCATGCATCTATCCACATCAAAAACAATGATGGGACAACCCCAGCAATGATGACCCTTCTGCATCCTACAAACAACGTTGGCCAAATGATATGTGACTTTACGAGATCGGAGGCCGACAAAGTTCGGGATGCTAAAAAGAAGCAAAAAAATATCTGTGCTAACTGCAGCAAGTCTTTGGGCAAGGGCGGGATGAAATGTACCAAATGCCTCGTGGCACTTTACTGTTCTCCCAGGTGTCAGACCCAACACTGGAAACAAGGTTGTCATAGGCTGGAGTGCACACGGCTCGCTTTCGTTGCAAGTGGGGTGAAACTCTCTTGCAAACATTTGGATCATGAAATGACATCTTCTGGATCGCTTGATTTCTTTGGCGACTCCTATGTCAAGCCAATAGAGATTCAAAATGGGCAAAAGTTTGTCGTTGCGGTGCAAATCAACCCTGACACCAAATCTTTGATGATATTTTCAGTATGCGATGGGTGTCAGTTCCAGTACCATTCGACCGGACCTGGATATTATACGATAGTGAAGGAAGTCCAGAAGGAAGCCGCTTGGGACGGGTGTAAAACCTACATGAAAGCATCCTTTGATGCCAATGGAGATTGTACCATGTACCCTACCACGGCGTGTGTCAAAACGGCCTACTGGTGGTAACCAATATATAGGAGTGCGAGCTACACGTAATGGAGCTCATACGGGTGTTTCAAGTGGGGGAAGAAGCTTGCGTCATGGAATGCTGATACATGATACACAAACGGATGGTTTGTGGGGAAATAAATCTGTCATTGTCTGAGGCAACAAGCATGTGGGACGATCCATCAGCAATAGCTCATAAAATTATACTTCAAGTTAGAATCATAATAAAGCCTTGTCTTCAAATCGCATGTTGCTTGACAAGAAGTAACTAAGAATGATTGTTTTTCGACACTTCCCCTCGCTGGCAATATTTCTTCGGTGTCAACGATTCCAAGCCCTGTTTCCTACTGTACGTACAAAAGGTTGGGAGGACAAATTGGACCAATCGTCTAGATCTCTATTGGTGTTGTTCTACGGTATGCAGCACTCGCCACTGATGACTCCATACTTCACGACTCAATTGGACCAAGGTATGTAAGGTACAGTCCGGCACCAGGCGGTCAAATAGGAACCCACGATGTTTGCAGGACGGTTCATGGGCATATGTCTTGATGGTATGTGTACGAACTATTATGACACAGAGCATGATTCAAGAAACAAGCAACATGAGCAGTGGTTCCGACTAGTGGTAGACTGACTCCTCCTTCTTTCTTGTCTTCTTCCAAGTCGCGAATCAATCATCAAAGCCAACAGCCCACCTTTACAAGGAACTAGTTCCGCAAAAAGCCAGACATTCTCACTGTGACGCAGTTCTTCTGCGTATGTGATCGGGGAAAGTTTCGTCTTCTTCGTCACCGTCGTCATCATCGTTTCCAAGATGATGCTTGAATGGAAACAACAGTTCCGAATCATCGTTCCTGTTTTTCATGCCATCGCATTCATTGATGAAAGCTGTCATTGGTATCCAAAGGATATAAGCCTTCAATGTGCAGATGAAAAGTGGTATCGGATTGAATCTAGAGATAAGGTGCAGAAGCCCAAATCCGATTTCCACGGTCACTCCAAGGGTCAAGAGCTCCAAAGATACCTTCACCATGCTTGGGCGATAGTAGAAGGCACCCATGATCGCCATGCCATAGATGAATAGTTGCGCCGTCAATACAGAAATAATAATAAACACAGACATGCGATCCGTCGTGGAAAAGGTCACATAAAAGCTAGGGTGGAGAATCATCTCCATTCCGACAAGCAACAACAGGAGTAAAATAGAGATGAAGAGAAGGCCATTTCCAACGATCGTTGCCATGCGACTGTCGAAGCCACACCAAAATGATGGTAGTTCTTCGATTGCTTCCTTTATCATATTGGATACAATGATGTATGCCTTGATGTGTTTGATGTGTCTTTCAAATTGATGCGGGACCGTGTCCGACTACAGAACAAACAAGTTGTCAGTATTGGTCGATTCAAAATTCGAACTGCAGTTTGTGTCAGGTTAGTCAGAGTAGTCGAACTTGCTTCCGACTCATCGGAGCTGAATAGCGGACTGCAAAATTCGTCACACCTTGCCGGAAAAAACAGACAACCACACAATACAATAACAACAACAACAACAAGCGGAAAGCTGTTTCATGCTTTCCAATGCGCAATGTTCCAGTCCACTTTAAACTCTCTTTGCCCACTATATACGTACACCACCAACATTGCCAGATCACAACAAGTGAACCCAAAATGCATGGTATTTGCAGCCAAAAGCGTGGTGTTTTGCTTCATTCTACTATTAGGTTTGCGGGAAGTTTTGGAGATTGGTTACAATTTCGCCAATGTGAAAGATGTGGCTACCAAACATGACAAAACCGAACATGGCATTGACCAAAACATTATCATACGCAGGGGAAATGATAATCAAACGAATGCATTGTTCAACGAATCAAGTCATGATGATGATGCCAATGATGAAACCAAAGACATTTCAACAGACGACGAGAGTTCCTCCTCCTCCTCCTCCTTCGAAGAAGAAGAAAAAGAACCACAAGACGGTCACAGCACAGTATGGTTGAGAATATGGGGGTCTCATATTGCAGCTGTAGATCCAAATGAAGATGATGATTTTTCGATTGGAGACAATAAGGGATTGTGGCAACGTTTATCATCCAATGAGACATCATCCACATTGTCGTCCAAGTCCATTCTAATCGATCTGTTTGCTGCCTTTCCTCGTCCTAAACAACAAAATTCAGCAGCAGTCTACAACAAAGATGCCTATGATTCACTAATTTCCAAGTTGGTGAAATCACGCAAACAGGGGAGGAATTTTACCATTGTAGCCAGTGGCGGTTCCACTACGTGTGGAGCTGCGAAGGATCAGCCAGCCATACCACAGGGAGAGCGATACTACTCTCGTCTTGCTGGCTACCTCAATGCCTTACTTACCGACTACCAAGATGACGATTCTACTCGGCAGCAAACCGCAACTGTGCAATGGATCGGTCAAGGTCACGGGGCAAGAACCTCGCTCCATACCGCAATTTTCTTTGACAGCTTTATCCCAGTCGATACCGACTTGTTGCTTTGGGAATTTTCCATCAATGACGCTATTGATTGGTTTGGAGGAGACCCAGAATTGTTTCGCAAAAGTCTCCAGAGCGATCTATTGGTTTGGCTGGAAGAGGTTAGTAGAATGAAACGACCTGCAATGGTCATGTTGATCTACTACTGGAATACCCCCTATCATCAAAATGCAGCTGCCAATGAAATTGTGGGTCAAGCGTTTGAAGCACATGCGAGCATTGCGAAAGAGTACGATTTTGTTGTGGGGCATGTCAACCTCGGATCGTTCATTGACGAAGTGTACTTTCCTGGATGCACTAGATGGGAAACATGCCCACTACTGAGCGACAAACATCATGCCAGCAGGCTGGGTCACGTTCTCACCGCCTATCTACTCTTGAATTTGCTGAACCCGAGCAAGGAGCTTCTATTGCCACCTGGTACTAAGGAAGATGATGATACCCGTAGTGAAAGCAGCATCTACGAATGGAATTGTGGAGTGGAAACAGACGCCAAACAAATTTTGAAGCAGGTACTTACCGCCCCAACAATAGGATGGAAGTCTCCACTTGGTGCATGGACACTGGATCTACCTGCGTACGACCAGATGACGTCAAGACAACTTGTAGCTGGTCCTAGGTTAGGGGATATTGATTTGGTTGACAAGGCAGATCCGATACGCCAGGATCGAAAGCGTTGTACAACTTTAGAATACTGTGGTAACGGAGGCACCTACTTCTCTGTGATTGCCCCAATCGAACCGATGGAAAGCGTCCAAGCCGTCTTGTTGGTGCTCAAAAAACATCAAACTGTACTTGACACTACAGATGTTAACGTGATACTCAATGATTCCAATGTGACAACGAACGGACAGCTAGTCGCAATGAGGACAGAGAAAGACCCGTCCATTTTTCGCAAGTGGCCTTGCCATTTCTCCGGTGGTTGGAGTTCCTTTGCCGACACATACTGGTATATTTTTGAAAAACCGCAGTCAGCTGTCAACTCTATGGCATTATGCATCCCCTCCAACGCGAGAATAATCACACCTCCCAAGATACAAGCTGTTGCATTTTGGTGAATGCAACTCGAATAGAAAAGATATAAACATAGACCCAACACAATATTTTATTCGAGTACGATTTTTTGCATTGTGGAGATATGGATGTTTTTGCATTGTTTCTTGATGAAATTTTTTGCGTCAAGCCATATGGCGGTAGCTTGACGGTCCAATACTAGTACGCAAGTGATACTAGCATTATAATGAGTCACTATATAATAAGGTTTTGACTACAGTCAGTTTATTCTCAGTTGTTATCTACACTAACTGTCGGAATCTCTACTAACACGGACATTCTCATCGCAAGCTTTCTGGTTACTTTCAAACTGTGGTGCTGGATCCTGTCAGGCGATCAAATCGATCATCATTTGTGATTCTCAATGGGCTATTGCTTTTTGCCTTTCTTGCCTCCGGCTGGCTTCTTCTTGTTGTCTTCAGCTGGCTTTGACTTCTTGTCAGCTGCAGATTTCTTGCCCTTGCCGCCCTTGGCTCCCTTGCCCTCAGCATTAGACTTGGTGTTATTGGTGTCGTCGGCGGTCTGTTGTATGTATCGGAAAAGGGGTACTGTGAGATTGGATTCATGCGGTGTGGTAATGACGTGGACCGAGAACTGTTGTTCTGTGCCTGCCATGGTCGACAGCAGCTCTGCTGTACTATTGCTGACAACGATGCTTGAAACATGAAAAGAGACTGCTTACCTTCTTGCTATTCTTTGCCATGCTTTCGCTTTCTTTGACCGCTATATTGCTTTCTTCCAGATGGAAATTTATGATAGTGTGGGTTGGAAGCAAAAATGGTTTTGAATTCTGGTTTTTGATCGGACGCTTTCAATGAGTGTACCATTTGTACCAACGGCGTCGTACACGTACCGGGTACATGTGTGTACGCGTGTACACGTGCGTACAATCTCGTCGAAGAATATCCAGTGCCGAACTCGCACAGACACGACTTGCACCATGAAAAAATGAGATGAAAACCGAAATACTACGAAAAGAGAGGCGAATACTGCAGACACAACGAAACGCGCATCTTTGCGATTTCGACCATGTTGTTTTAGGACCATTTTGAAAATAGAAATAGATATATGGTGACAAATGATTATTAGCTGTTCTGCCAACATGACCATGTATGCAGGATGTTTCATAGTTGCGGTCCGGAACATACGACCCTACTTAATAGTATTAACTCTTGCTGCTAGCGATCCTTCATTTCCATCAGAATCGAACCACTCTGATGATTCGAGTAGTGATGCCTCCTGTGTTTCGCGCCACCAGATCGGTACTTGTACCAAGTTTCGCCATCTATTGGTTTGGGATTGGATTGAGGCTGGTACGCACGGGCATCGAATGTTCCATCATTTTAAAGTCAGTTTATTCTCAGTTGTTATCTACACTAACTGTCGGAATCTCTACTAACACGGACATTCTCATCGCAAGCTTTCTGGTTACTTTCAAACTGTGGCGCTGGATCCTGTCAGGCGATCAAATCGATCATCATTTGTGATTCTCAATGGGCTATTGCTTTTTGCCTTTCTTGCCTCCGGCTGGCTTCTTCTTGTTGTCTTCAGCTGGCTTTGACTTCTTGTCAGCTGCAGATTTCTTGCCCTTGCCGCCCTTGGCTCCCTTGCCCTCAGCATTAGACTTGGTGTTATTGGTGTCGTCGGCGGTCTGTTGTATGTATCGGAAAAGGGGTACTGTGAGATTGGATTCATGCGGTGTGGTAATGACGTGGACCGAGAACTGTTGTTCTGTGCCTGCCATGGTCGACAGCAGCTCTGCTGTACTATTGCTGACAACGATGCTTGAAACATGAAAAGAGACTGCTTACCTTCTTGCTATTCTTTGCCATGCTTTCGCTTTCTTTGACCGCTATATTGCTTTCTTCCAGATGGAAATTTATGATAGTGTGGGTTGGAAGCAAAAATGGTTTTGAATTCTGGTTTTTGATCGGACGCTTTCAATGAGTGTACCATTTGTACCAACGGCGTCGTACACGTACCGGGTACATGTGTGTACGCGTGTACACGTGCGTACAATCTCGTCGAAGAATATCCAGTGCCGAACTCGCACAGACACGACTTGCACCATGAAAAAATGAGATGAAAACCGAAATACTACGAAAAGAGAGGCGAATACTGCAGACACAACGAAACGCGCATCTTTGCGATTTCGACCATGTTGTTTTAGGACCATTTTGAAAATAGAAATAGATATATGGTGACAAATGATTATTAGCTGTTCTGCCAACATGACCATGTATGCAGGATGTTTCATAGTTGCGGTCCGGAACATACGACCCTACTTAATAGTATTAACTCTTGCTGCTAGCGATCCTTCATTTCCATCAGAATCGAACCACTCTGATGATTCGAGTAGTGATGCCTCCTGTGTTTCGCGCCACCAGATCGGTACTTGTACCAAGTTTCGCCATCTATTGGTTTGGGATTGGATTGAGGCTGGTACGCACGGGCATCGAATATATTTGAAGTTAGAGTTAGGTGAAATATCAGATTCGCGTTCCATCATTTTAAAGTCAGTTTATTCTCAGTTGTTATCTACACTAACTGTCGGAATCTCTACTAACACGGACATTCTCATCGCAAGCTTTCTGGTTACTTTCAAACTGTGGCGCTGGATCCTGTCAGGCGATCAAATCGATCATCATTTGTGATTCTCAATGGGCTATTGCTTTTTGCCTTTCTTGCCTCCGGCTGGCTTCTTCTTGTTGTCTTCAGCTGGCTTTGACTTCTTGTCAGCTGCAGATTTCTTGCCCTTGCCGCCCTTGGCTCCCTTGCCCTCAGCATTAGACTTGGTGTTATTGGTGTCGTCGGCGGTCTGTTGTATGTATCGGAAAAGGGGTACTGTGAGATTGGATTCATGCGGTGTGGTAATGACGTGGACCGAGAACTGTTGTTCTGTGCCTGCCATGGTCGACAGCAGCTCTGCTGTACTATTGCTGACAACGATGCTTGAAACGTGAAAAGAGACTGCTTACCTTCTTGCTATTCTTTGCCATGCTTTCGCTTTCTTTGAACGCTATATTGCTTTCTTCCAGATGGAAATTTATGATAGTGTGGGTTGGAAGCAAAAATGGTTTTGAATTCTGGTTTTTGATCGGACGCTTTCAATGAGTGTACCACTTGTACCAACGGCGTCGTACCGGTTACATGTGTGTACGCGTGTACACGTGTGTAAACGTGTACACTCTCGTCGAAGAATATCCAGTGCCGAACTCGCACAGACACGACTTGCACCATGAAAAAATGAGATGAAAACCGAAATACTACGAAAAGAGAGGCAGACACAACGAAACGCGCATCTTTGCGATTTCGACCATGTTGTTTTGGGACCATTTTGAAAATAGAAATAGATATATATGGTGACAGATGATTATTAGCTGTTCTGCCAACATGACCATGTATGCAGGATGTTTCATAGTTGCGGTCCGGAACATACGACCCTACTTAATAGTATTAACTCTTGCTGCTAGCGATCCTTCATTTCCATCAGAATCGAACCACTCTGATGATTCGAGTAGTGATGCCTCCTGTGTTTCGCGCCACCAGATCGGTACTTGTACCAAGTTTCGCCATCTATTGGTTTGGGATTGGATTGAGGCTGGTACGCACGGGCATCGAATATATTTGAAGTTAGAGTTAGGTGAAATATCAGATTCGCGTTCCATCATTTTAAAGTCAGTTTATTCTCAGTTGTTATCTACACTAACTGTCGGAATCTCTACTAACACGGACATTCTCATCGCAAGCTTTCTGGTTACTTTCAAACTGTGGCGCTGGATCCTGTCAGGCGATCAAATCGATCATCATTTGTGATTCTCAATGGGCTATTGCTTTTTGCCTTTCTTGCCTCCGGCTGGCTTCTTCTTGTTGTCTTCAGCTGGCTTTGACTTCTTGTCAGCTGCAGATTTCTTGCCCTTGCCGCCCTTGGCTCCCTTGCCCTCAGCATTAGACTTGGTGTTATTGGTGTCGTCGGCGGTCTGTTGTATGTATCGGAAAAGGGGTACTGTGAGATTGGATTCATGCGGTGTGGTAATGACGTGGACCGAGAACTGTTGTTCTGTGCCTGCCATGGTCGACAGCAGCTCTGCTGTACTATTGCTGACAACGATGCTTGAAACGTGAAAAGAGACTGCTTACCTTCTTGCTATTCTTTGCCATGCTTTCGCTTTCTTTGAACGCTATATTGCTTTCTTCCAGATGGAAATTTATGATAGTGTGGGTTGGAAGCAAAAATGGTTTTGAATTCTGGTTTTTGATCGGACGCTTTCAATGAGTGTACCACTTGTACCAACGGCGTCGTACCGGTTACATGTGTGTACGCGTGTACACGTGTGTAAACGTGTACACTCTCGTCGAAGAATATCCAGTGCCGAACTCGCACAGACACGACTTGCACCATGAAAAAATGAGATGAAAACCGAAATACTACGAAAAGAGAGGCAGACACAACGAAACGCGCATCTTTGCGATTTCGACCATGTTGTTTTGGGACCATTTTGAAAATAGAAATAGATATATATGGTGACAGATGATTATTAGCTGTTCTGCCAACATGACCATGTATGCAGGATGTTTCATAGTTGCGGTCCGGAACATACGACCCTACTTAATAGTATTAACTCTTGCTGCTAGCGATCCTTCATTTCCATCAGAATCGAACCACTCTGATGATTCGAGTAGTGATGCCTCCTGTGTTTCGCGCCACCAGATCGGTACTTGTACCAAGTTTCGCCATCTATTGGTTTGGGATTGGATTGAGGCTGGTACGCACGGGCATCGAATATATTTGAAGTTAGAGTTAGGTGAAATATCAGATTCGCGTTCCATCATTTTAAAGTCAGTTTATTCTCAGTTGTTATCTACACTAACTGTCGGAATCTCTACTAACACGGACATTCTCATCGCAAGCTTTCTGGTTACTTTCAAACTGTGGTGCTGGATCCTGTCAGGCGATCAAATCGATCATCATTTGTGATTCTCAATGGGCTATTGCTTTTTGCCT